AGCACTGTGAGAACATTAGGAATATATTGTTTGTGCTATGGTACCATTTGTCTGCATTCTCTCCTCTCCAAATGTACTTGGCGTGGGTGAATGTCTCCCTTAATATTATTACTTTGGAGATTTATTATCATAGATAGCGGCTCTGATTGAAGTTGTCAAAGCCAGTTATGTGTAGCAAATTGGTGTAAAACACAAAAAGGCGATACATTTCCCTGTGGTTAATGATTTGATATCGCTGCCCTTCATCCTCTGAATCTGTTCACACTAATCAAATTAGGAGACGACCTGAGGACAAATTCCACGTCTTAGACTCAGAAAGCTGCAGAGAGCGTCTCACTTGCAGCAAAATTTACAGATTATGATACAGATGTTTTGGAATTTTCTACAGCCTGTCAATCACCAGAGTAAGACAACATAACAAAATGATTTATCAAAGGCATCTCTATTGCATATAATGTATGCAAGGATTTGTTTTTCTGGCAGGTTTTGGCATCTTTGCTTCTTGTTTTTGCCTTTCCAGCTGTCAGTCCTACACAATTTTTACAGCATATCCAAGCAGGTTTTATTACCTATTAGTATTCCAGTTATCTAAAGCTAGAACTAAGCCAAAGAAAAGCCCTCCCAAATGATATGATAAGTCCATCTGGTCGCTCTCTTTGTTAGACTCTTAATTTGAAAGGGTATTTCTCATAGCGCTCTCCTAACTTGCAGCCCTGTTGTCTTCTAGTGTGTTATATTTCTAGTGAAGCAAATTGTTGATCATATTATAGATAAACAAGCTGCCTCCCTGTGTGTTTTTGTGCCTGGCTTCAGCCTCCCATCCCTCCCGGGGGAGATTAGCAGGTAGAGGACAGATTGAAACCACACAGAAAGGCGATGATGAATTGGAGCATCAATTCCAGGAAAATGATACACAGTCGACTCACCTCTGCTTTCCCATAGAGTCCAAACAGTGAGACTGATACCGGGCGTCCTCGCACACAGATGTTACAGCTGCTGTCCAGCTTTCCTGTCTATTCCCTCAATAATCTCACATTCATTTACTATAATTTCATCTATTTGACCTGCCTCACATGTGGGACCCTCAGTGGGAATTATAGAGCGATCATAACAGAATCAGCATCCAAACCATCAAGGTCAAACAGGACTGCATGCAAATTTCACAAATCTGCAAAAGGAGCCAAATTTAGATCCAAAGCTTTAAAGGTCATTTTAGTGATTTATATTCAAGTAATGATAATGAGTCCTACAGCAGTGACGCAGTAACAATCAATCATTCTTAAAGATGAAGCAACATTAATGGTTCATCAGCTGTTAAGCTCTAGTCTGTTTTCTTTTTTTTAAAGCAGTGTTTATAATTATTCATCTAAACAACAATAAAACTGTTTCATAGTCCTTCATCCAACACATCCATTACAACAATGACAACGCTCAAAGTAGCCGCAGACAGAAACACGCAAAATATACTGATCCATCATGGAGTCACAACTCCTAACTTCAGTTATTTATTTCTGGATGTCCATGTTGTGACACTGGCGGAGGCAGATCATTCCTCACAGCAGTGCATCTATGTATGTATGCACTTTTGAGATATGAGGTTGACTTCAAGTCATTAAAACCAGAATTTTAAAAAGCTAGTTGTAGTCCATCCATCCTGCTATTATCTTTAATGCTTATCCCAACTTGGAGTTATGGAAGGGGCTTCAACGATCCCAGAAATCACTGGGTGAAGTCTCCGTACACACAGAGACAACATGCAAATTCTACACAAAGACCTGCAGACTGAGTGACAATAACACCGCTAACTACAACACACCGCACAGCCCTTTCATGAAAAAGTAATCCACCAAAAACTTTGTTATAATTTGGCGTGGTTATGCTCTGGTGTTTATCACAAAAAAAGTACTCATTGCTCACTGACAAATTGCCCAGCAGCTGTCCAGCTCATTACTTTCACTGTCTGTTCCCAGCATGCATGACAGCTGGTGTTGAATGCAAAAATGATTTTATCCTACATCTCTCATCTGCAAAATTTCAGTACAGGCCATTGAGGATCTCTGAGAGTAGACAGGAGAGTTTAGCTTCTGGATATATTAAAAAAGCTGACGCTCTGGGGACGCCAGTTAGTATTGCGTTAACAGCTCTGACAACACCAGTTAACTTTGTGTATGTGTGCTGATTGCTAACTGTGATATGAGTAGTAAAACCTTTTTCAACTCATCATTCAGGCAGGACTTTTTCTGCCCCAATTAATGTTATTGAGTCAGGTACATGTCAAAATAGTACAACTTTTATCTTCAGGTGACTATACACTAATTTGAGCATCCTTATTTCGACCAAGTCTGTTCTGTGAAATAGTACACACCACACCTTTAAGCTTTGTCGAAAAACGATACGTGCCACATAGATAATGCAGACAGGTAATCACTACCTGTTGTAAGCTAACCATCAGGGTGTAGAGTTGCAGAAAAAGCTTCTCTATAAGTCACCTGAAGTCTACAGTGTTGTGTGAAAACTGCTGACCACAGGGAAAGGCATTCAAACGAGACAGGTGTGACTCCACTGATCTCCTGAGCAGTGAGAGGCAGTAAGATTGTTGCTAAACCTCAAGTGGAAAGGAAAACCCATTAAAGTCCTCTTAGCTGTGCTGAGCACTGGGCTGCAGCCTGTCGTGCATGGTGTGCTAAGAGGCTAGCTGTGCATAGAGGAAAGCAGGGTTACGCTGAAGCTGCCGTCCAGTGATTTGCACTTAAGTCAATTGTATCCAGTTTATTTGAATAACATGATATATTTTCTTTTCATTTCAGACCCCTGTTTCCCTTCTCGACCTTTTTATGTAAATCCCGAGCCTTTCACTAGAGAAGAGGCTGTGGGTGTGAAGGAGGGTGGATTATTGTCGGGGACAAGTGCACTGGATTTCAGATTCAGCATGCATCCTAATTTTGTTATTTTTGCAATGATCGTGTCTGCTCATGTGCAAATAGTCTGGATATGCACATTAAGCATGGCTTTGCTGTGGAGGCATTAGGCCCAAATGACAGTGACTCTAACAGCACACGAGGTAAAATATTAATGGGTAAATACACCTGTTTTAACTGCCAGATTAAAAAAAACTGTCTGCTGTGAAGAGGAGCATCCTATCCCTGCTAAATGAGACCCTTAACTCTTGTCGGCTCACCCAAACAACCAAATTTAAAAGCAAAACACAAACAGCAAGTTAAGGACTGTCGAAATCGGTTAACGTTGGCAGCTTAATCTTCTTCTGTTTTATTTCTTTCCTGTCCTGTGGCAGAAAGAAACCACAAACCTGCAGCTCAATGATCTTTGTCAATAAATTTTGATTTTGAATTGTTGCTCCTCACTTCTAAAGAAGGCTTTAGAAACAGTTTAATCATCAGTGCTTGAAACATACCATAGAGTTTGGCCCTTAAGATGTTGGTGTGTTAGCAGCAGGGTAAGGTGTTGTCTTTATGCCTCCCATGGTCCCATATGCAGATGGTATAGACTCTTAGAGGCTGTTTATCTGCCTCAGAACCATTAGTCGCATGGAGCAGCTGTTTGTCAGTGTTAAAACCAGACATAAATCCCCAGCTTCTCCGAGACGCCTTAAAATTCTTGCGCAGCCTTTATACCCACCCGCTCTCACCTCATTTTCATTTTCCTCCCCTCCATTAACAGCATCACCTGCTGCTTTCAAGCGTCTTTCCAAGAAACCACTGTTAACCGTGCCAAGTTTCTCCACTGCAGGAATTACAGTCGGCTCCAATTATCCAAATAATGGTAATGATGTTATTTTGTTACATGCTGTTGATGGGAAAACATGAGACCATGCTCTGTGCAGAGTTTTGAAGCTAAATTGTATCTCAAAAATCCTGACAAACCTGACACAATCTATCAACTCTAACAACAAACACCCATTACATGCTTGTGGCAGCACAGCATCAAACCGTGTCCTTGCTTGGGCACTAAGTGGAGCTCGGTAAAAAGACCTTGTCGATATTGTTTGTTGAGTCGTACAGTCTGGCCTCATCTATGTGGTCAAAGCATCCCTGCAAGACACGAGAGCTTTGATCTGTACTCCTGACCTGCCTCATGAGTGCCCTCCTCCCAAGGCAGCTGACTGATCCCTTGTGCTGCAGCTCAAAGGTTTTATAGGCAGACCTGTATTCTCCATTAAAAGAGCCAGAGCATGAATCAGGGTTCATCATGCCACTGACTCCAAGCTGTTGGGCCCGTTTCAAGCTGAACCCTTTCATAAAATAGCAAGAAATCTCCCAATATGGAGTTGCTGCAGGAGCACCAGCAGACAGAGAATAGCCTTGTGAAATGTCAAGCTGGCATTGAACCTCCTCTCCCCAGGTGGGGGATAAAAGACATCTCTCTTTGAAGAAGATGCAGCTAATGTGATTTAATGCATGTCTGTGTGGGTCATGGCTTTCACAAGCAGTTCACACAATCTCCTTTAATTGGTTTGCAGACTTTCATCTGAGCTGAAAAACTACCTGCATGTGCATGAAGCTGCGCTCTGCTGTGACAGACAGACACCCTCATCCTACTTTATCCCTGCTTTTCTCTCCTCCTTGAAGAAGCCAGAAAGGAGCACTGGGATCAGGTCAGAGCAGCGGTGCTGAGTTCTGCAACTGTCTTTCTTTTTGTGCGGCGGCACTGATGTGTTATTTCACTGATGGCAAGCCGAGAAGATTCATCAGCACAGCCAATTTGCTGAAGCCAAGAACACCTGGCTCACTTGATGGAAAAATATGCTGGGAAACATATTCCAGGGCTTAATTATAAATAAATTTGCATAGAAAGAGTGCTACTTTTTATTCCAGCTGATGCATGCTGGTTTGATCAGAACACCACTGGTATTTCACATGTCTGCTCCTCTTGTGCTTTTTCCATGATTCAAAAATATGTCTTTTTTAATATTCTGCTCTGTAGTGCACCTGGTGCTCTGTTTAACTTACCAGCACTATTGGGCTTTGCTGTCTGCGTGACAGGCCCCAGTGGGTACATACAGTTGACAAAGCAATTCAGTTGTTCTGGTCTGGACGGAGCTCTTGGGCATGCTATCATCTTGAATCAGCTGTATGCTCTCCCTGAGTGCGAAAGCAGAGATGTCTGAGAGGTTGATGTCCAGCCATTGAACTCTGTCTGTCCTTGTCAGGGAATCTGCTCTCATCTCCCACAGCTGGGTCTCTCTGAGGCTATGGCTCGCACCACAAAGACCTGTTTCAAACAGCAACGTAGGCCTAAAATTTTAACCTTTGACATTTCCGTCAGAGCCAGCTGGGACATTTATGAAGGCTGTTTAAAGCTCGGTTCAAAGGGAACATTATGAATATCCAAAACAGGCTTTTACTCACCCGTTCACTACTTCAGTTTCTAATCTCATTCTTCGCTTAAAGTACATGTCAGTCAGTCGTGTTGCCTATCATCGTGCTCTTGGCCAGGCTGTTTCTGCTCTTATCATATTCTCTGACGCCATCTGCTGGATCCTCACTTCACAAATTCACTTGAAGCCCAGAGCCAAAGTGCTACTCTCTATACACATCAATGAAAACACAAGACTGTTTTTATGTCTGCACCTCCAGATAAAGGTTATTCTCCTATATTGTGTTGTGGTGTAATGTGAGTACAGCTTTGGTGATGCAAATTCACTAAATTCTGTCACAGAATTTATTTTAGACTCTCAGTTTTGTGTCTTATTGATCTGCTGAGCAACAACTAGATGAATTTTATCACAAAGAATAACGTTGTGAGGTGAAGGAGTAATCTACATAGATATATACGTACAGATATTACGCAGTAAAGTCGCAGCAACATACTCCAATTATAAAAATGTAGATATATTAATCAGAATGTGGGTAAGCAATACCATTAAGGCCGGTTTCTAACCAAGGATAACTCCCTCTCCTGAATAATCAGCTGGATCTTAAGACCCAAGAGAGTCCTCACTGCAACATTGTTAGTGTTTTGTATTGATTTTACAATTTCAGGAGTTTTCCTGCTGACTAATAGATTTGTCTTTAAGTCTATCATGGGACAAGTGGTGAAAACAAGCCTTAGTGCTATAATCTCAGTTGTATTGATTTGTGCTTTGTGTGTGTGAAAATAAACATGAAACAGAAATATTCGATCATACCCTTATCTTTTGGTGCTGCAAGAAAATAACTTGCTACTGGGAAGAAATAAGCAAAGCAATAAGAAAAATATTAGGTTACAAGCTCCCTGTGACCTTCGAGGTAATGTACCTGGGCAATCTTCCACAGGAAAACATACAAACTAAAGACAGATACTTGACTGAAATACTTCTTGCAGCATTAAAGAAGGCCATCACGAGGAATTGGTGTAAGGAGAATCCACCCAATCAGAAAAACTGTCCAGACATGGTGGAAAAACTATATAAAATAAAAAAAACTAACACACTCTACAATTCCAGCAAGAAACTAACACCTGAAAGTTGAAAAAATGGAACAAATAGAAATCTATTCACATTACTTTAATTTACTTTCTCTGTGAATGACACCATGTTTTATGTTTGCTTGTTTTTATTTATATTTTTCTTTGAATGGCCGTTAAAAAAAGTAAAAAATATCTATATATTTGAGCAAGAAGTACAAATCAGCTGTTGACATAGAAACACAGCTCCTGTGCATTATTTATAACCTACCATCTACATGTTTGCTGTTAACTCTAGCCACAATTGCAGGCCTCATATGTCCTTTTTATTACCACTAACACTTTTCCATAATGTTGTACTCTGTAATGTAATATTCTGGGGTGTTTTTGCAGTCTTATAAAAAAATGTCAAACTGTAAACTCTACATAAGGGAGCTGAAAGTGGCAAAAACTGCCCTGGGCGAGTTTCTCCTGCAGCAGGGAGCCAACCTTTGCATGTGTTTCATTATTAAGGAGGATCTGAGGAGCGGAGAGGCTTCAGGGGGGCGGAGCTTATCTGAGCGGAGCTGATGGAGGGAGACCACAGAGAGAGGCAGAGGAGTCCATCCGAGCAAGTGTGGCGCCTGGGGCTTCAAGTTGGACGAATGGAAGATGGAGTAAGAAAAACAAACCCACCTGCTGTACATCGAGGTATTTATCATTTATCTCACTAAGGCTGCCAAAGTTTGTTTTCTTTACTTCTTAGTGAAGGTGTTTCGCTCTCCTACAGCAAACAGATAGTTTCTTTCATAGCGGCGATATCAAAGTCTAGTCGGCGTGTTTGCTCTGAAGTTGAACTGTTAAACTCTCTTTTTGTTGAACAAAATGAATCTATCGCTCGTAAAAGTGTGAAGAAAATGTCGCCGAGGAAGATCCAACTCCTGTCCATGTTATCGCATCTTGTTCCAAAGTCCACCTGCATGTCTCAAACTGAAACTTTGCCTGAATGAAGAGCTTGTTAACTTTTTAAAGTGCGTAGCCATTAACACTGTATGCTGCACTGCACACACTCAGTTAAGCTCCTGTACTCTTTGTAGTAATTAATTAACAGTACAGGATGTTGTCTCACACTCCCCCACCGAAAAAAATCCATGAAAGTAAATGTTTTGAAGGTTTTTAAGATCCCAGCAGTAGTTGAACAGTCCCAAAATGGTTCACTAATGAAGCTAATGACCTGAATATGCACCTTTTTACAGCAGACTCTTCAATGATCAAATCCCAAGGGCCTTATTCTTGAAGAATAGCAGTGGAGCTGTGCAAAAAGCTGGAGAAAGACCTTATACTTCATTCAGGGGATGATACACAAGCTCAGCAGAAAGCCAGCAACTAAAACTCTGAAGTTAGTTTTGTATGCAGGGTTTTTAGGACTGTGTTGTTTTTTTGAGGCGGTAATATGCACTCCAGGTGATTTGGTTTCCTCCAGGTAGAATTGCTTGGACTTGAGAGAACATCTGAGCCCCTTTGCAATAGCAGAAACCGCCAACTCACACAGTGTTTCACCTATTTTTTACCCTTCTCATCACAGGAATGTCACTGGGTTACTTTTATTCGTATTCAGGGATTTTGACTCGCACATGTGCAAATATATTTCTTCTTTCTGCATCCTGATTTTGTTGACACTGTTGCATTGTTTACATCTGCAAAACAAACACAACAAATTTGTTTGAGGAGAAGAAAGCACACCATAAATAAGATTGACTCGAACAGACTTGACATCAATCCAGAGATTCTATTACTCTGTGCATGTTTAATGTGAACCAGAAACGTCTCTCACAGAAGAAGAAACTCCAGCTAGAATAAAAAAACGATTCTAGTGCTGCAGTTGTTTTTGTCAAATCAATCGGAAAAGTATTTCAGAAACCCGAGGCGGCACTTTGCCTTACTTAACACGGAGGATAATCAATAAAAACACAGGCCAGTAAGTGGCAAAAAAATTACCAAAATCTGTTTGAAGTTGAACCACATCCAAGAGATTCTGGCTCTTGGATCTTGGAGATAAGGGTGGAGGAAAAGTTTGAAAGATTTTCAAGCCTCTCTTTCTCTGGAGAGAGCTTTTGCATGGCTGCAGGCAGTTGATGTAATGGAGGCTGCATCTCCTCTTTGCTTTTTGATATATATGCTCCTCTTTGAGTAAGCCAGACAAAGCCCTGAGCTTTTTTCACCTGGAAGAATCCGATTCTATCACGCACATTAGAGTAACTTAGTAATTGACAGACACATCACATCTTACTTGGAGAAATCTACATGTATTTCTTGTATTTGTTTCTCCTCACATGTTAGTCCCATTCAACACAATGATAAGGGGAACATAATCACCTTTCTGTAACTGGATACGCACACTGTTCACCTCACCTGGTCGCTTTTGTCGGGGGCCACAGAGGCTGCATGTGTTCAGCGTGAAGCCCCTCCCTCCACAGGTTGATAATAGGTAGGGAACAGGTGCAGGCGTTCACCTGTTCGCAGCCCCTGAATGGTTCTTATGTGTGGAGAACAGGTGAACCTTTGAGCAACGATCCCCTGTAGATGTGGAAGAAAATGAACTCAGTGGAAGCCGGGAATTGTCTTTTTAGAAGTTGTAAAAGTATAAAAGGTTTGCTGTCAGCAGTTGTTTGTTATTATGTGAAGTCTTTCCACTTGTTATGCTGGAGACTTGTAAATGTTTCAGCAGCACTCTGTGTTGTTTCTTCTTCTCTGTGAGTCTGGAAGAAACCGTTAAGTGAGGCGCACTTCGGTTGTACATTCATACACGGACATTTTATCACTTTTAAAGAGTGTTATATAACACTCGTCTGTTCCCACAGTGCACTCTGTGTTTGTCTTCATGTTGTAAGATTGTGCTTTTCAAGAGTCTATAAGCATCACCGGAATTAACCTTGAGTTGGTTAGTGCTAACATTAGGGCCTGGTATCTATCTATTATTCATCATGCTCTGCTTGGCCTGTGTGAATCTAAATGTGTCTCACCATGGAAACAGCCTTCTGTCTCCGCTTGAGGGTGTTGGTTTCAGCAGCCGGGCTGACTCCAACCTCGATTCTGAGGCCAGGCTGTCCCGATCTGCTCCACATAGTGATACAAGTGTTAAAAGATGTAAAAACACAAATTCAGACTGACAGCTAATGGTAACTTGACTTCTGCTTGATTTCTGTTCAAACTTAGCAAAAGTTAAGTTGAACTAATCCATGCTGCTAAAGACTTATTTTTGTTTAAAGGTGCCTTAAAATGTCTCTGATTTGAGGATATTTTGAATATTTCTATAATTTGATGGGATTTGTTACTTCACAATCAAAAACTAGAAAATTTGCCCAAACAGAAAACGTTTGTGGAAACTCAGTGCTTGAAAAAGGCCGTAAGTCCTGCTGTCATTCAAATGAGTTTCACATATTTTCATCTCAGTGAAGGTTGTTAATTTAGTGAATAAAAGGTACCTGTGTTTCACATGCTCTCTGTTAGACACAGTGGAGTGAAACTACTGTAGAATTGTTTAAAATGAACACTAGAGGGCGCACTACTACTACAAGTCATTTACAGTGAGACTTAACAGTGCAGCTGGTCTGTCAGGTGCTTTTAAATCTCTTGAATATAAAGAAAAGTGTTAAAAATTTCAGTAAAATACAAAATGAAGAAACTGATTTTTATTCAAGGACTCCTGATAAACTGACTTTTAACTGCACTTGAGTGAAGATTGGCAGTTGTGACTCAAAAATGTTCACATCAGTTGGATTTGTTACGATGAAATGGTGAATTGAAGTACTGAAGTGACCTTGAAGGTTTTCTCCTGACCTGGTGTCATGTCCTTAAACTCCAAATAAAGCCTGTCCTCGATGCTGTGGAGACGTGTCTTTGCTATGCTGGTTGTTTATTATGGAAACAAGATGATTTGTGTCCCGGAGGACGCTTTAAAGTAGGTCAGGACTGGGCTCAGAGGTAATTGTGATTCAGTCTTCATTATTCTGCAGCAGTAGTAGGAACATGCTGCACGCATGCTGTTGTTTTTGGCAGTTTTCTTGCGAGTGCTGTAGCAGCAGCGCTCCGCTGAAACTGTTTTCTTTAGGCTACCTTTTTTCTCTGACAGGTGGATGACAGGGAAAACACTGCTGGACTTATTACACTGAAGAAAAACGTGTCGCCGGGGGGCCCCCTGTTGTGCAGCTTATCTCTTCAACAAATTTCTCACCCATATGTCCAAACACCCACAAAGTTAGTCGCATGTTGCTGTGACATGTTTTGGTCACATGTTTTGGTTCTGCTGTGTGACACGAACCTTTAAAGAAAACACATTAATGATGTTGAAAAAAAAGAGTGTATGGGCCGGTTGTTCCTTGTTCTGTCTGTGGTTTCTTTAAAAAAAAAAACAGAAAACGCCTTCACTTCACGTATATACACAGGCTGTTTGTATTGCTGATGTAGGTCAGGGTAGGAAAAACTGGTTCATGTGGTAGGTGTGTCCGGTTTGTGTTCGTTTGAGGAGCTGAAAAAGACTGGATAGAGTCACAAAGCTGCAAGATGTGTGAAAGTTTCCTGGGAGTTACTTCTGACTTGCACCTTCACTCAATGACGCCAGACAAGAACATGAGGAAATAATGTATCAAGAGGACCAGACAGAGGACTGGATAAAGAGAGGAAAGTTCTGGAGACGTTTAGGGACCGGTGACGTAAATTTGGAGGGTGTATTTCGTTGTGAAATCGTCGAGGAGTCATTAAAAAATTCTCATTCATGCCCGTGATGACTCCACGGTTATCTAAGAAATGACTCTGCGTCTTATCGAGGCTTCCAGAGGAAAGAGATCTCTTCAAACTTTGATGTGCAGACTAATGCAGGATATTCATTCAGGAATGCCTTGTGGGCATACGGTAGGCGGGGATGTTGTAGCTGTCAGAACGGCCCCTCTTCCCCGCTCCCTCCCTCTTTAGTTATGACTTTGCCCCTCTCTTCTCTGCCTCTTGGCTTTCGCTGAAAAGAGGAGGGACTGTCCAAGTAATCCAATACCTGCCCAATTCATGAATGTTACTGTAACTTGCTCAACTGCCCTGACAAGTGCAGAAGTTAAAACACACGAGAGGCTGACAGCTCCAACTGCATCTCTGCTCGCAGAGAGAGAGAGAGAGAAAGAGAAAGAGAGTTTTCAAAGGAAGGAAAAGGAGGAGAAAAACTAAACACTACATTAAAACAAGAGGGGGAAGACCTGGCACAGCTTCAGATGCCTCCTTTGGAAGAATGATAGAAGTAGCTGCGGGCTGCCTGCCATCCAACATGTCTGCAGATGAGAGGGCTGTGAGAGACAGGGCTCAGAGTGAGACGGATTGCTCTGAGGGACGGGATGACGATGTCCTGGGGCGCATTGCCAGCTTACCTCTGGATCCATTCCCTCCCAGGGACTTCAGGGGGAAGTTTAAAAAGATGCGCCACAAGAAGAGGCCCACTATTCTGGAAAGTAGGTGCTGTTTTGACTCTGAAGCTGTGCTAATCACCTCAACAATTCTGTTTTCAACCTCTGGGAAAAATGTGCTGGAGAGCCAGTCTTTGCTGCTACTACTACTACCATCACTTTGTGAAATGCCTCACATCCACATTGAATTTGTCATAGAAACGCAGGAATCTGTTGGCTTGTTAATAATAGTGCCAGGCAGCAGAAGTGAGAACATCTCACAGTTTTTTGGTGTTATTTCTCAGAGCTCATTGTCACAAACAAGTTCTTCTATCTGACTCAACTTTCTCTGAATCCTGTAGCTTTCCTGTAGCGATGCAGAGCGTTAGAAAGCAGGATATGTGAGCAGAAGAAGAGGAGCAGATAGAGAAACCAAGGGCACCAGGGGCATCGGGTTAGAGTAGGAAGGAGTCAAGTGTTTGAGCTTGATAACCACAAGGATGGCTGAGCTGAGCTGGACAGGCATACCTCACATTCCTGACCTTCATCAGAGCCTGATAATGCTTTTAATAAGTGCTTAATGTGTCCCAGCCAGCGCCCACCTCAAGCATAATTAAGAAAAATGTTTATGTTAAGATAGCAACGCTTCTCCGATCACATGTTGCTTTGAGAACTGCAAGAAAACAGACCTACAAACTGGTTCATTAAGAGCGAGTGAGTGAGTGAAGTTCGCCTTCTGAGGGCGCATCAACGACTCGACTGAGCGTGCCAGCAAACTGTCAGAGCTGTACGTCTGAGTATCTGGCAGCAGACGTGTTCAGAAACATCCAGAAAAGACGTTATGCAACGCTCTTAACATACTGAAATTCCTGTACAGTAGTAGTTTAAGGTCTTGTTGTTTTCATGGCACGGCTGTTTCGATGGGTGATACAAACACAGAAATGTCTTTTCTGACATTTTCATAGAAGAGTTTTCTGATCTGTTTTGACAGCAAACTGTCTTCTTTAAAGCTCTACAGTACAGTCGCTGCAAATCTCTCTGACAGACCGGTCTTTTTTAGACGGCACATCACTCCTTCTCAGATGAATGTCAGTAAAGAAATGAACTTTAATATATTAGTAAGTATTTAAGTGTTTCTTGATGTTGTTGGTCAGTCAGAGTGACTCCCTTATATGTTGTGTTTACTGTTGAGTCCTTGCAGTGAATCGGTGCATCAGTCAGTAAATGCAAAAAAGCTGAAACTGCATGCATTTATTACCCATGTTCATGTTTTGTTATCATAAAAGTAAACATGAGTATGCTGGTTTCCCACACCTCAATTTTTCCTTTTTTACTGCCATGTTTGAAAAAAATGCTACATTAATTCAGCGAGGACATTACATAACCGTTTGCCCTTCAGAGGGCCTCTTTCTGGACATGTCAGGCTGACCAGATTATTACTGATGCAGAAGTCATGGAAGAAACTGGTGTGTGTGTGTGTGTGTGTGTGTGTGTGTGTGTGTGTGTGTGTGTGTGTGTGTGTGTGTGTGTGTGTGTGTGTGTGCTCAATGTCAGGCTGGTCTCTGCTTTTGGTGTTGAATTTTTTTGACTCGACAGTATCAGCCAAAGTTATATCCCTCATCTTTAGTCAGAGTTGCTCTTCTTTTCCCATCTTTCCTAATTTTTATGTACAAACTAAACTATATGAAGTCTGTAAACATGTAATAGGTGAATGATTTCTTTCTTTACATGACCACGTCACATCCAGCAACAGGGCCTCTCTGCAGAACTGTGAGTTTTTCATCCTGCAAATAAATGGCCACATTATCAGAGAGTCAGCAACTTATAGAGAAGGACGGCTCGAGGTTGAAACCGTCAGAATTAGGACTGGGCGATAAACCGAAAATTTACCGATACCGAAATTTACGACAATAACCAACGTCAAATAAATATATAAGTGAAAGTTGGTTTTGGATGTTTGTAGGTAGTCTGTGGTCTTATGTCTCTTGAAGACACTGTCCTACGTCGGAGACGGGACTCCGTGACTGTAACACAGAGGGAAAGACAGGTGAGGAGATGGAGGAGGTGAGCAGCTTGTGGAGTAGTTATCGTCCATTCATCGTTATCGAGGTGAACTGATCAATATATCGTTAAATTGATTTGAGGCCATATCGCCCAGCCCTACATTAGAGATTGAGCTAAAACTTGATAGTTTGAGCCCTTTACTTCAGTATGTCTCACTCTTTACATGTGATGCTGTAAGACCTTCCTGTGAGGCTCACCCTTTATGATTCTCCAAAGAAAAGGCCTCTGAAACAATCTAAAACCACGCGTTCGCGCAGCCATTTTACATTTAAAAAAGGGTCTATATTTAGTCCTATTTAATGAAGGTCTCATTTATGTAAACTATCATTTGGTATAACCAGCTGATCTGCCTCGAGCCGTGTGCACATTATCAACAGACGTGTTCCTCACATATTTACCAAAGACAGCAGCAGCCCTCTGACTCTCTCCCTTGCAGTGTTTTGCTGTTACGGTATGAGGACAGTGACTGAGTGTGCGTGAGCGTGTCACAAAGCATAACAAGTTGAAAACACAAACATGTAAATGCTGTCACAAGTCACAAGAGCGCTGTTGTGCGAGGAGGTTTATATTCAGCGGTGCCAAAATCCAAACAAAGTCACCGCTGTGGAAAAGAGGGCAGGGTCACACACGAAATACTGTATCCTATGTTACAGAGCTCAAACTGTGCAGACCTCAGTTCAGACTCACTGTCCCAGGTTTTATCAGGACACCTGAACCTCTGTTTGCACTGCACACACGCTGCACCCTGCCGTGGTTTCTCCATCACAGTGTGTGTGTTTCATTATGAAGGTCAAGTGGCCGTCGCTTGATGGACAGACAGAGGTGTGATAGGATTATACTGAGAGCGCAGAGAGGTAACAGAGAGAGGAGGAGGATGTGTTTTATGACCCGTGCATCTGCTTGTTACTCAAGAAAATGCTGATAAAGGATTCAGCTCATGCATGTTCAAGAAAAGCAGCTGGAGAGTAATTCCTGTTAATTGTAAATATTGTGTAACAGCGTACTTTGATGATGTTTAAAAAGAGTAGTTTGAAGTCTTTATTTTTGAGCTTTTACTACAATCTATTGCGTTTTTTTTGTCCTATCTTTTATCCCTTAAGAAAAACTGAGTCATCATATAAAGGGCGTATGATGTAACTGTTTAAAGTCGGCTGTGGTTATAATGTAAAAGGGTTAAAAGCCAGGAGTCAGCCCCTGCTCATGCAGATCCCCTCTGTGCAGTTAATCCCGTCTGCCTGCTGATCACTTTAGTATCATCTTCTCTCCGCTGCCGTCCCAGATGTTCCCATGATGTCTCATTTTTTCCAGGTTCTCCCCTCGCCCCCGTCACCGCTGGTGGCTCATCCGATGCTCCCAGGCGCTCTGAAAGACGCACAGGGCAGGCGTTGTCATCATTATCATGCCTGACCGGCACGCAGACAAACAGTAGTTATTATTAACCGTGCTCCGCTAAGAGGATTGCTTCCTGCACTCTCAGCCTCCGCGCAGTTATTTAAAGGGAGCTTGCTTTGCCGCCCACTGCCTGCCACAGCTTTAGAGAGAGAGAGAGATAGAGAGAGAGAGAGAGAGAAAGAGATGTAAGCAGAGTGAGAGAGAGAGAGAGGGCTGATAGCCAGGGACGGGACACAAGAGGAGGGTAAAGCAGTGCTGGTGTGTTTTCTCAGTATCTTGTCAGCACAGCTCTGTGTGCGTCACAGAGAGGTGACAGCAGGCGCACATTACCTGCTGGTCCTCGCTCGGCTGCTGCTGCTGCTGCTTGTGGAGGGACACTGCACCTCGAGGATCAACTAAAAGGGGGAACACTTAACAGGAAGCTGCAGCCATGACCAGCCAGCAGGACTCGGGCTTCTTTGAGATCAGCATCAAATCCTTGCTGAAATCATGGAGCGGCAGTGAGTAGCAGTTTGTCTCTTGTTGCTGCTGCTGTTGTTGTTTTTTTTTTACGCTCTGCCGACTGGCTGAAGCTGCAGCTCCTCTGGGAGCCTGAGTTTGTAGCCTCTCTGTCCTGTTGTTGTCGCAGATCGAGCCGATATTATTGCTCAGGATGGCAGATGCTGCAAACTTGGGGACATCGCACTTTTAGCAACAGATCACTGCACTTCTCAAGGTTCTCACTCGTCTCCTAGCAACAGCAGGGACATAACTGAGTATCGAGCAGGAGTTATTAGCCAAGAAGAAGTTTCTCATCACTGTGGTGGTGACTATTACTCAAAGTATCCGGTGTATTTTAAAGCTCTGCTGTTGATGATTCAGCATCTCTTTTTTGCTGCTTCACTTTAAAGTCCATCCTGATTTTACTTCAGTCTGAAAGTCCCCGACAGACGCTAAATAGCTCTTATTAAGTGCAAGGACACAGTAATAGGATTAGTGGAGGTTCAGCTTGGTTGAATACTCTGTCCAGGGCTCTCAGCTTCACAGACTCCCATCCGGCCCGTGAGGGAGGAGAGGAGGCCCTCCTGCATCTAATTTCTGCATAATTCTGTTTTATGTTGGATGTGGATAAAAATATCGAATCTCTTTGAAGGAAAAACAAACAGAAATGAGGAGAAGGAGGCCCCAGCCAAACCAGGATATCCAGCTTTGGCCCATGAAACGCATGCAGTATGGAGTGCTAATTAATATTGAGCAACTGAAGCTGTTTCTCTTGAGGCAGGCAGCGCTAGCACATGTGTATCTCCTGAATCTGAATGTAAAGAGACACCGCAGGACACGCTGTCCCCATATATATACACACTCAATATTGAGCCATCTCCTGATGATGTTGCATAATCCTCACAGTGGGTCACTTTGCTGATAAATCACAGGCAGTCATTGTACTGCATCAGCAGAGCAGACCCGCAGATATGAAGTTAACATTTTCATTTAGACAAATGTCTCTTAATCTCCGTTTTTAAACAGCTGTTATGTAATAAATCATGAGATGGCAACAGAGATTGTGTGTAGTGACTGAAAAGTTAAGCATAAACATTTCAGAGTTATTAGCTGCTGATGGAATAAGACTGATAGTCCCTGACTGGTAAATTATAGAAAATAAAAATAGCTGATTTATGTTGTTGTGTGTCAGCTGCATGAGAAGTAAAAATGGGCCAATCAGAGACTGATAACAACAGTGTGTGTCCCCCCTGCTGCGTAGGATCTGATACTGTTTGCACACAGTGTAAACAAAGTCAAGGCCCTTTTAGACCCCAGTGCCTCATAAGTCAGTGTGCCCAGCGCTAATAAAACAGTGACAACCAGCAGCAGCACAGAACTGGCATTGTGCAGCCGCGGCGTCAGGTCTGGTGTGCAAACAGCCTGAAGGCCGGTCCAGCTTGAGCCAATCAGAGCAGAGGATGAGCTGCAGAGAGCACAGTGCTGCTCTCCCTGATCAGAAGTCAAATATGTTGTTTGGTTCACTGAGCATTTATCGAATGTTATAGGATCCAGTTAGGCGCATTTTCTGCTTGTTTGGTTCAAGTTAACAAGGTTTTAAAAAAAATGTCTTTAATTGGAAACAGGAACTTAGACAAATGGTCTGAAATGTTCTTGTTCCTGCATATCCGTCTTCTTTTAGAGAGCTGCTAAAGTTTGAAACTCAAGCCTGCCCTGACATATCCGTTATCACCCCCTCCCTCTTTTCCTTGGACTCTCAAACTGTGAACTTTTGATAATGTGAAAGTGTTTAGATGTTATTGCTCCAATAGCTCCAGCTGTTGCTTCCTCTTGGTGATAGATAAATATTTCCAGCTATATTTATCAGCAAATATTTTCAGCCTCCACTTCTCAGACTTCCTGGAGATCTGTGGAAAATGTTGCAGAGCGTTTTCAACAAAAAAAAGTCAGGACGCTTTATTCACAACAGTTCAGATTGACCAAAGTGCTTGGCAGAGTAGAAAGGTGCAAGAAACAACATTATGCATTAGGGCTGGGCGATAAACCGCAAATTTACCGATACCGAAATTTACGACAATAACCAACGTCATTTTGCCCATTTTGGTATATTCTGTGTCAAAAAAAAGCTGTTTTTGGATGTGTGTAGGTAGGCTATGGTCTCATGTCCCTATGTCAGAGACATGACTCCACCCTGTCCAGTCCATAACAAAGAGGGAAAGACAGGTGAGGAGATGGAGGACGGTTCAAAAGTTGTAGCAGCGGGAGCGGTGGCTGAAGTAGACGAAGTTAATGTGAGAGGGGGTGAGCAGCTTGTGGAGTAGTTATCATCATTATCATTATCGAGGTGAACTGCTCAATATATTGTGATATTGATTTGAGGCTATGTCGCCCAGCCCTATTACACATCATAGTAAAAACAGTAAATCAAGTTTTCAGCTCAGAAGGAAGGCCAAAAGGCAGAGACAGGTCTTCTGTGACGATTTAACTCTCTCAGGATTAAGGCGAGTCTTGTTTTGAGTGACAACCTGCTGCACGGGTGAAGTCATTTTCAAACACAAGCTCTGGTGCCTTTTTCATATGGGAATATAGTCGGTATAATTTAATTGCAAGCATAATCGTGCAGCCAGTGTGGCACATCTGGCAGTTAACAGCAGTCCTGTTTTTTTTCTCCTCTGACCTAAACTTTATGGTCTCAACCTGCCAGAGAAATTTCCCCGCTTGTTACGTCACATGACGCAAGCAGCCACCTTTAGCTGAGCACCTAAGAACAGTGCCCCTTTATTCCCATCCAGGAAGTATAAAATATGAATACTGTACAGCGCTGGAGGAGAGGTTATATAGGTAATGATTTGCACTTTACATGCGCCAAAAGTGCAGAGTCAATGTTTCTCTCAGCGGCTGCATGAAGTGCTCCCGAAGGTCCATGTTGACACTGGAATTTCAGTCCAGGGAAAGGAGGTCACTGGTATCTAAATATCCTCCCACTCTATTCACAAACGATCGCTAAAGTGGTTGTTTACTCAGCGGGGACAGTCTCTGCGGACACATATAGGGAGCTGCATTCTTTCTGCGCGTGTGTGCGTCTGCGTACGTATGTGTGTGTGTGTGTCCCATAGAGACACTTGTTAGCCTGTTTGCATTGTCCTTCTGGGAGCACCACCATGCTCAGGGTGTTTCCAGCATTGGGATGATGTAATTCACACTGTGTCCGAGCTCCTTGTTTGCAGAGTCACATGTCACATCTGAGGGAGACAGAAAGGGCTGAACTGGACACTGGTTGCTTTCTTTTCCCACAATTATCAATTTGAGGCAAAAATATGATGCAATTTGTAGCTAATTATGTAGAAATGTTGGTATGTAGAGGAAGTTGTGCCTTGAAAATGTTGATTTAGTTAGAAGTGGTTGCATTTTGGCGAGGAGATGGTAACAATCTGAAAAATGAAAAATCCAAAGTCTTTGATTTCTGATTAAACTTTTCTGAAAGAGGGGAACTGCCGCCTGATCAGGAATGGTGTTTACACTCCCCGAGTTGTTGCTCTGCGCTTCAGGATCACAGAGGTAGAGGAAAGGGGAGGGCTGCTCCGTCAGTATGGTGTGTACCCCGGGATAAATATAGACACATAACTATGCCACCATAGCATGTAGGCCCTCGTCACTGTGCTGTGCCTCAGCTAAAAATTCCAGCCTGACCTTCACTCTTGGAAGGCTCTGCTTGGTCACAAGGCGAGAGGAAGCCATAGCAGAAGCTGCTCAGAGAAAGAGAGAGAGAGAGAAAGAGAGAGAGAGAGATCTCCCGTACCAAACACTACTCCCACTTTTTAAAACACACCCGCCGTTGGCTCTCTGCGCGCCATGGAAACTATGCCCAGCAGGACAGAGCCAGCGGACACACAAGACATGGACATTAACGGATTTTACTAGCAAGGATTCACTTTAATTCAGGGCAACCCTGGACACCATATCCTCTTTCCGCACTATGGACGGGAGGGCCGTGTGCTGGAGTAAGGCCAGCGTCATCAGCTTCATCAAAGGCCTGGGTAGGTGCTGAGTGACTATGAGTGAAGCAGGCATGTTCTGAAAGCTGCTGCACGATATTGCCAACGTGCCGGGCGTTCTGTGGCACATATCAAAACAGAGCTTGACCTGAAAAGATCTGAAGACGGTTCATCCACTTGTTTTCTGCACCTTTCTCACAGTTGCATACTCTTGACTGTACAGCCGCTGATTACAATGCAGCCTCCTGCTTGTTTCTGCTCTGCTCAGACATGTGCTGGCGTTTAAATCAATCAATTTGACATTCACCTGTGCGACTTGTCTGCAGTCTCCTTAAACCACCTGTAAATACTCCAAGAAATCTTTTTTGGCAAGGCACTTGAGGTGATTCATTAGAGCGTCTTTTATCCTCTCAACCTTTGATATGCAAGAAAATTTATTGTTTCTGCTTCTGATTCACCTTTTGGCAGACCGCAGAAGTCATTAAAATAAATAACTGGTTATCTGATTCCTTCGCCACACACATGCAGTTAGCTTCTGTCACAACTTGACTCCATGAAAATGATCGAAATAAGAAGGTTTATTAGATCAGCTGCATGGGTTGTGCAGAAACATAAGCCGGTATTTTGTGTTTTATTTGCGGCGTTGTGCTCGTAACAGACTGCAGACTGGACTCTGTTGTGGTTTCTGTATTTATTACACATGTTGGACTTTTTAACACACACAGAATGCAGCCCCTCTTGCTGAGAGGAGGTTAGTCTTTTCTGTCCGGCCTGAAACTAATGAATATTTTACACCTCAGATTTATGGCGGTCTGTGAGGTGGACAGTTAGGAGTTATCTCACGGTTGTAAATGAGGTGTTTCTATGCACTACTTTACTATATTTGGCTCTTTTGTGTCTGGACGCAGCAGAGTGTGACACCAGGGTAAATTTTAACTAGCGTGTTAGTTTGCAGGGTCCCATGGCCTGAGCGGAACCATCTGTGATTAAACGTGCGCCACGATCGTAACCTTGGCTGCAGGATGGTCTCATCTCATGCACAAGATTTTTGCTTCCCTCAAAGGGCAATGACATCCATGGTACGAAATGAAAACACCAGCTGCTGGCCGTGGAGCTTTCATTTCCATATGTGCTGTGTTCACTGTAGCAGGAGGAGAGAAGGAGCGGAGTCAGGGCAGGCCGGTGCCCTCTGGACGGTCTCCCTCAGGAATGTTCAACATGTCGAGAACTTTATGTCCATGTTTGGAAACTTCTGAGTAAATCTCTGTCTGCTGATCTCTCTTTGTGGCTGATCCCGTCCCACTCATTTGTGCTTGAATTAGCAACATTTGACTCTGCAAAAAAAAAAAAAAGATTTCCCATCTTATTCTGTTTGTGTTGTTTCCGCAGCCTCGCCCGTGGGGAACGGATACAGTAAACCCCCCCTCCCTCCAGTCTGCTGTCCCCAAGGAGAGAAGGGTCCCCCAGCCATGATGCCCATCAGTATCGACCCGGAGAGCAAACCGGGCGAGTACGTCCTCAAGAGCCTCTTCGCCAACTTCACCACCGTGTCAGAGCGCAAGATCCGCATCATCATGGCCGAGCCGCTGGTGAGTCTGCAGAAACTGGAGGGTTACCGCTCTGTGCGCAGCGGTGATTGGCTGTTGATGCTCCTCTTTGTCGTTTTCAAACAGAGCGTGGAGTTAGGTACACGTGTTGTTGCTCAGACAAAACACAAAAACAAGCTGAGGATTAACCATTGTGCTCTTTGTAAAAAAAAAAAAAAAAAAGTTGCGGCATTTAAATCAAAGCTGAATTATTTTTGTTAAAGATGAATATTTCAGCAGCAGGTTTATAAAAGACAATAACAAATAAGAAAAAAGCCTTTTCTGTGTAGCAGTATTTCTTTCTAATTTGCCCCCCTGTCAATCATCTCGTGGCCTCTTGTGGGTGTCCTGACCCACAGGTTGTGAACCAGCATAACAAGGTCAGACAGGAAGCGTGACAGACAGGCTCACAATAGCTGGTTTGACAGGAATGAATTGCAGACAGTGGTACACAGAAGATTTAGAGTCTCTGCTTCAGTTAAAACTACTGACACAACTTTTTAAAAATACAAAGTTAAAAATGTTATTTTGAAGTAAATAGGATTGAAATTTCAACAACACTCTGCATAATATTGTATTTAATGTTTAGACTAATACAGTCTCCTGCATCTATCAGATTTTCCTTTTGGTGAAGTCTAATTGGTGAAACAGGAAAAATAACCTCAACTCTGTTTTATGTAAAAGAACACAAACAAAATTTGCTAGAGACAGTTATTTTTGCTCTTTAAGCATTATAATGTGTTGATTGCAGTTACTCCAATTTATAGAGCTCAATTAAATGCTTATATTTGGTTTTGTCTCTTTGAATAAATATGTTACTGCTGAAATCTTAAACGGATGTGTTTCCGAGTTTTAGGCCTGCAGCAAAGTCCCACACATGCACACAAAATCAGAGAAGCAAACTATCTCTCCTTGTTAAACTTCTTACCTCTACAGATTGGAGCAGATATAATCCTGCCCTGTGAGTTTTACCATGTTAGTTGTGATTTCTAAAACTCCTCAAGTGTAATCCCCGTTTTTTTCTTTAACAGTGAGGCTATTTATTTTAGCATGTTAGGAAATAAACAGGTCTTTTATCTATCTTTTATAAGTTTGACTGAGAGCCCAGGAACCAAAACATGTGAATAAACAAACATGTGGCCAAGAAAAGCAGCGAGTTTTCCAGTCCTATCACAGAGATAGCGCTCCAAATGTGTTTATTTGGTTTGGGATAAGATGAAAAATGTTTTTCTCCAAAAATTAAAACCCTGCATCAGAAAAGTCACAATTTGAGAAACATTTATCTGTTAGTTTGTTGCAGAAAGCATTACAATTAAATAATTGAAAATGAATCCAAATATTTTCTTGTTTAAGTGACTCCAAAGCATTCAGTGTGTATAGTTTTAATTTTTGCATCATGATTATTTGAATCTCACCAGAGATTCATCGGTCATTTCAGAAAGCAATCTGCAGATTCATTAATAATGGAAATATTTGTAAGCTGCTGCCAAACCTCTGTTCTTTATTCTTCTTCTATCAGAGACACTTTGGATTTGAATATTTATCAGAAAGATAAAGATTTTTGGTTGAGACAGTTTCCAGGAACATGCTGTAACTTTTACTATCTCTTGTTTCTAAGTCTTGTCGAGAAATTCCTTCAAGATGAAACGAATTCAGAAAAAGCTGCCAAACAAATCTCGTCCAGAGGAGTTTGAAGCCAAACATCAGCTGTTGTAAATAACTGGGCTGACAGACAGCCCGGCAGACGGGGAAGAGCCGCTCACCACCTGCTGCCAGAACCACATTACTATCTCACAAGTGCTGCTGAAAGTCGACTCAAACTGACCGACTGCTCTGTGTTACCGAGAAAACCAGGAGAAGTCAGAGAAAAATACATTTAACGATAATCATCAGACATTTATCTGTGTGTCCCAAAAGACTGGAGCTATCTGAGGGGACAACTCTGAGTGCAACATGACAAAAAAAATGGTATTTCAGAGAAACGAGGAGGTAGTTGAGAAGCTGATTTTGATGCTTGTCAGTCTACTGTGGACGTGTGCTCTCCAGTTTCAGAGGCTGTGATTTATTGGAAGCTGTTAGTCATGGTCCTCGGTCTGCAGGGGAGTGTTAATTACCACAGGGAAAGTGTGCAAAGCCTTCCTTTTGGTGTGACTCCCTCTTGGGGATTGCAGAGAGGATGTGTCTGTTAGTTTTTCCTCTCGGTGGAGAACCGGATGAGTTATTTGTTTTAGCTCAGTCTCAGTTCCTGGACTCAACAGGTGAAATTGCTCAAGTTAATCTTTTATATTTGATCATATTTATACATCAAATAAAGAGAGAAATCCTCTGTACGATGTTAAAAGAAGATACTATTTCTGAGATGCTTGAGCACACACAGTGTTTTAAACAAAAGCCGAGTCTTTAGATGCAGACGGAACACTCCGGCACAGACGCGCTACTCCAGTTCAAGCGTTTGTCTGAACTGCAGCTCCGGAACAACCATCAGACTACATAGTATCAGTGTCAGAAAAATCAGGCAGATAGATATTTTAGATTAAATGCAAAGTATGTGATGTGCAGTGATTTGCAGTGTGACTAAAAGGACAGGCAGAGTAGTAAACAAGCAAATAGGTTGAGTGTAGCGTAAGTGTAAAAACTGCTGTATCACCTATGTGCTTATTTAAGATACATCAGTGTCAGTGTACATCAAGCCAGAACATTTTCAAGCATTTTTGTCTCTCATGGACTTAATCACATGAGTTCATAAACTATTTAGAAATAACAAGGGCTGTAATCAAACAAAGAAATTCTTGGTCGACCAAATTTTCGATCAAATATCGACTCGGTTCTGACTCTGACGGCAAACCCTTCAGCGGTGGGGGACGATGCGGCTCGGCGGAGTTAAAATATACTGATATCAGCACAAGAAGGTAATTAAACACGAAGAAAGTTAAAACGCTCAAAATAAAAATAAATATTCAGCAAACCACCGAACATAGATTAACGTGGACACTCTTCAATCTTCCTGTATGTGAAGTATGTGATGCACCAAAAGGACAGGCCGAGTAGTTAACAAGCAAATTAAGTGAAGAACTTCTTGTTTTAGCTACATCAGTGTCATTGTACTTCAAGCCAGAACATTTTCAAGCATTTTTGTCTCTCCTGGACTAATTCACACGAGTTCATAAACTAGTTAGAAATAACTAAAACTTAAATACATCTCAGTTTTTTAAAAGCTCTAAATTTTTGATCAGGTTCTTACAGAAGTTGTTAAATCCACCTAATTCCTGAACATCTGCTGCCATAATGAAATGATTCAGACAGAGTCAGGAAACCATCTGCAGGAGTGTCCTCTGCAGGAGAAGACTGTGTTTAACCCGAATCCCTCACAAAGGTCTTTATCTGGGGTGATAGAGGACTGTAATAATGGAAGCTGTCATGGATGTCCCGTGTCAAATATCTGACTCGCCCTTCTTTCATCTGGCATCAGAGTGACTGATGGCTTCCTCATTAGCCTGACTGTAACAAGTCCCTCTTTCTAAAATACTCTGCACACTTGCACACATGCACTCCCGACAGGGCAAGGAGATTTATGAGCTTCAGATTAAACTTTTTAAGTTTGTGTGAAAAATGTGTAAAACTGAAAACATGCAAAAGCTTAAAAATGATTTCCTCTTTTTGTTTGCAGGAGAAGCCATTAACAAAGTCACTGCAGAGGGGGGAAGATCCTCAGTTTGACCAAGTAAGTGCTGCATTATTTTCAGCAGTGAGTATTTTGTGCAGGTGCATGAATTTTTTTTAACTAATCTGTAAGCTCTTTCATAACAGAGCAACAATTGAGAGTTTGGCCTCTCCCTGAAAGAAAGTATGCAGGTCACCTTTCACGTTTCAAATCCAGCTCTACTACGATGTACAGTTGCATTAAAGCGCTGATGGGAGAAAGTGCCGCTCACATCCAGAAAGCTCTTTCACATCCACTGAAGGGAGGGCAGGCGTGTTTACCTTGCGAGCTGGCACCGACTCTGGGCTAGGTGTGTCCAGCAGGTCTGTGGCTCTGCAGAGAAGGCTCTTTCACAGCCACAGGGGTGTGTTTGTGCTGCTGCGTGAGGCCATTCAGCAGCCACACAGAGCTGGGATTCTTCTCCAGCCTCGTGCTGAATGAAGGGCTCGCTGTGTTCCCCGGCCCGACCAGGCTCTCCTCCCTTCCTGTGTGCCCGGCCCCATCCCACCCGTTCCTTCCTCTCCCTCCTCCTTTCCCTGAGGACTGAGGGTGGCTGCCCCGTGCTGCACCTTGTCTCCCTGCGTAAAGTCTTAAAAAGAGATGGGCTCCCTCTGGACTTAAAAGCTTCCTGATTTTGTTTTACTCCCTTTATTTTTAGGATGAAGGAAATATGATTACATTTAAATGGACCTACTTCTGCCACTTAGATTTTAGTTGAAATTGCTGCAAAAATAAACAAAGGAAGCACTGATTGGTATCTTAACTTTGGTATGTTAACTACCAAACACAAACATGCATTTGCACCATGTATGTCTTTCTCTTTCAGCTGATAAGCACCATGAGCTCGCTGGCTGAGTACTGCCTCCCCTCCATACTGCGCACTCTCTTCGACTGGTACAAACGACAAAATGGACTCGAGGAGGAGCTGCACGAGTACCGGCCGAGAGCTAACACCAAGTCGAAAAAGTGAGATCCTTTCAAACTGATCCTTTCAGGAGCAATGAACCACCTCTAGAAAAACAAAGGTGGAGGATGCATGCACTGTATATTAACAGCAAACCTGTTGCTCTTGTTTTCTCTCTCACTCTCTTTTACAGTGATGAGCAGCAGAGAGATTATCTACTTGAAAGGAGGGATTTGGCCATAGACTTCATCTTCTCTCTTGTACTTATAGAGGTTTTGAAACAGGTGACTCGTCTAAACTCTCTTGTATGCTTTTTAATCTCATTATTTACTTAAAAACAGAGTTCACTTTCAGAGAATTCAGTTTGGAAAACACTCAATTGTTAGTTCAATTTGTGATAGTAATAATGTTTTTATTGATATAACACTTTTCCATACAGGTGACAAATATCTTCACAAAATGATAAAACTAGAAATAAAAGCAGAAAGGGAATAAAAGTATGCAGACGTTTGAAGATTTTTAATATCATGATTTTTTTTGCTGTAAATAAAGCAAGAGCATTGAAGTAGAGTTAGAAAAATAATCATTATAAAGAACAAAAATACAAACACAATGTAATAATAATAATAATAAAGTGCTAATATGAGAAATAGTTGTTGTTCATTTGTACGGTAATGTGTCGTGTTGTGGTTATGAGCATCAACCATACAATATGATTTATAGACATTGTGCTAAAGAGACACTACTCAGGTCCAACCTGTGTTAAAGTAAACTATTACATAAGTTTAACGCTTGGGGATGATGGGGCTGGATGACAGTCTGTGTTGAATGTCACGTGGGTGGAGAAAAGGCTCATTATTGATAAGGCTGGAGGCAGAAGAGTAGAAACTTGAATACTCTCAATAATGGAGAGTCAACAGGCTACTGTTTATACTTATTTTCAGAGCAGATCACCTAAAAGTGTAAAATTTCCTCTGATCAAGCCGTATGAGCATTATTTTAAGTTATCCTCATATACGGCTGTTTAAATCAGGGTTTCTGTTCAGTCTTAAAAAGTCTTAAAACACCTAAAATCCAATAATTTGAATTTAAGGCTTTAAAATGACTAAAATTCTCTTAAAACCTCATAAATTGTCTTAAATGAAAAATTTGAAAGGCCCTCAAAATGTATTGATGTTACTTACAAATAAAGATTGATTTGAAGTTAGTTTAAAATGTTCCGATTTCCCTTCATGTCTTTTGTACTTTTTTTGCCAGTATGGATGTAAAATGGATTTTAAATTGTGTTCATTATACTCTTAAAAAAGTCCTGAAAAGTCTTAAATTTGACTTAAATGTTTAATGTATCATGCCGGGTATCTTGTTGTTATGCTGTTTTAAACATTGATTCTCATGCACTGTTTTGTCTCGTTTGTGTGTCATCTAGATGCCTCTCCATCCGGTCCTGGACAGTTTGGTCAGTGAAGTCATAAACTTGGCCTTTAAGCACTTTAGATACAAAGAGGGGTAAGGTCTTATTATCTCGGTCCTCCAGTGTGCATACCTCCTTTAACGGCATCTTAAAGCGTCTCTAATGTTTGTTCTTCTTTGTCGTCTGTCCTGCAGGTATCACGGTCCAAACACTGGCAACATGCACACTGTAGCAGATCTCTATGCTGAAATCATTGGAGTACTAGCCCAGTCAAAGTAAGCACCAAAAATAGATCTATGAAAATACAGTATTAATATGAACCATTGTGTAGTTTGCGCTCTGTCTCTCTTCATTTTCCATGCTACCTTTCTCAAAGCCTTCCTGTAAAACATTTCCCGCTTCAAGAGACTGGAACGTTCTGCAGGAACGACACACTCTTGGACAGGTCCCGTCACACCAAACTAGGACTGGAAATTGATGTCTTTCTATTTGAAGTTTTTAGATCACTGCAGCAAGGAAAAATACCTTAATATAGGGATAGAGCTGCTGAGGGCACTTCATACCTCCTGACCAGTGTGTTATCTGCTGAATGTCCTCAGGGAGCTACTGAGCAGAAAGGATTTAAAGCTATCATTTCTAATCTCTGAGGCCAAGACAAAAGAAAAAAAGACGTCAGGAATGTTTTATGAAGTATTTTAAGAGAGTTTGATGCTATTTATATCAGACTAGAAATAGTCTATTTTCCCTGATAGTGTCCAAAGCAATAATAACAAACAGATCGCTCCTCTTAGTGTGACACAGTAGCTGGAATACTCTACGAGCCCCTGCTGCGGAGGTTAAGAGATGCTTATGTGAGCTCCCATGATGAATTGTCGTCTAAATTTAGCCCAGCTGAAGAATCCCATCTCTGGTTCAATTTAGACAGGGGATCAGGTGCTTGATGAAGAGTTCATCCCAGGACACAGACTCACACTCTCCATTTTTAGGCTCCGACAAGGGGGGGCTGCTTATTTTTGGGAAGCGTGCCCCCCCTGAATGTTGTCACTGTATTCTCACAGCGTCACAACTCGGAGCACAGGAAGTTTTTGAGAGGAAGTGCTGATTTGGGATTTGTTTGACTGAGCTATGCGGGCATGTCTTTTTATAGATCATCATCTCGTGCCCTCTTTTCTGTTTGCTCGCTCTTAGGTTCCCTGCAGTGAAGAAGAAGTTTATGACAGAGCTGAAGGAGCTGCGACAGAAAGAGCAGAGTCCGTATGTAGTCCAGAGTACCATCAGTCTCATCATGGGGGTCAAGTTCTTCCGGATTAAGATGTACCCCGTGGAGGATTTTGAGGCATCTTTTCAGTTCATGCAGGTATAATCCGGTTATTTCTAACGCCTTAAATATCACAGAAATGAGTTTTCCTAAAAGAAGAAATAAATACGATCCCAGACTTGAGTGATATAAGGGTGTAGACACCGATACAGCAGAGTTAACAACCAAGAAAAAGCCAAACTATCTTGAAATCTTCCTCTTTAACAATGATTTTCCCTCCCATGGAAAAATCCCAGACATGCTTCTTGTGGATTATATTTAGTTTTGATCGTCATATCAAGTCACAGAACTTTAAAAGAGCTGCTTTTTAATGTCTTTTCCACAGGACTGTGCCCAGTATTTCCTCGAAGTGAAGGACAAGGACATTAAGCACGCCTTGGCCGGTCTCTTTGTTGAAATTCTGGTCCCTGTTGCAGCAGTGAGTATTATTTTTACATAACATAACGTATCATCACACAGGATTTTATTGTCACAGGGTTGGGCCCGGCTTAATGCCTCGCTAAGTGATCACGTTTGATGTCGTTCCAGGCCGTAAAGAACGAGGTGAACGTACCCTGCCTGAGGAACTTTGTGGACAGTTTATACGACACAACCCTGGACCTGTCCTCCAGGAAGAAGCACTCTCTGGTCAGTTTATTCAGCAGGAAACAAACTGATTCTGATAGTTAGCTGTTTGTCCTCGGGTGGCCTGTTCGTATTTGTCCACTTGTGTTTTCATACTGACTCCCTTTGTTTGGATGCCTGCGGTCACTTCAAAGTTCTGCTCTCCTGCAACACATGAGGAATTATTTACGAGGGTAGTGCAGACTTATGTCACCTCCCTGTAATGTGGCTTAAAAAAAAAACCATCCACCTTGGAAGTTCACAGTCAAAACAAGAGACAACAACCCGCATGGAGCAACTTACTGCTCTTACAAAAGATCTATGATCCCCTGAGGCAGCGACTCTCTTTTATGAGCTTTGCGTTGTCAGCAAAAAAAAGAGCAAAGACGGAAAAACCGCCATTAAATCTTCAAAGTAAAACCGGTTTACACTTAAAATGCACTTTGGCTTTTAGGGTTCAAAGGTGAAGTGCGATTCTTTTAATCATCCAATCAGACAACAGCCTTGGAAATCAAATTAAACTAATAATTTTATCAGACACTTTTATAAAGAGGTGATTTCAACACAACCTGTTCTTTGTTTAGGCGTTTTACCCCTTGGTGACGTGCCTGCTGTGTGTCAGCCAGAAACAGTTTTTCCTCAACAGATGGCACGTCTTCCTCAACAACTGCCTCTCCAATCTGAAGGTAACGTCACCTGTAAACAACAGATATCTTTGTTTAGATTATCTGATGGTGAAACAGATGTCTCATCAATGACTTTTATTCTATTACAGAGCAGAGACCCTAAGATGGCACGTGTCGCATTGGAGTCCCTGTACCGGCTGTTGTGGGTCTACATGATCAGAATCAAGTGTGAGAGCAACACCGCAACACAGGGGTAAAAACCTTCACTCTTTATACAGTGATTTTAGGATGACTTCAGTGTTTATGGAGATGCAGAGCAGAGCAGGTCTGAGGTCAGGCCACGCCAGATTGTCCGAGCTCGTGGCCTGCAGGTTTCTCAGCAGCTTAAATGTGTTATTATGAGCTTGAGCCCACCTGAGAAACCCTAAACAGGTCAAGCCAACAAGTCCATTCAAAGTAAACATGTCGGCAGATAGCACACTTGTTTACCTCCAAAGTATTTGTGCAGAACGATTAAAAACATTTTAAATGTTTTTTATTTTGATCCACAGCCGCCTCAGCACCGTGGTTACGACCCTGTTCCCCAAAGGATCCCGCAGCGTGGTGCCCAGAGACATGCCTCTCAACATCTTTGTCAAAATCATCCAGTTTATTGCACAGGTAACGGCCGATACACCAGACTCAACTACCCAGAAGCCACACTGTTGCGACTAAATTGTTGTATCCAGCTGATACGCGAAAGATGAAACCTCCTCGCATCATATTGATCAGGTTTTTGAAATCACATCTCATTACAGGAAAGACTGGATTTCGCCATGAGAGAGATTATCTTTGACCTTCTTTGTGTCGGGAAACCTGCAAAAGCATTTAGTCTTAATCCAGAGGTATGAATTCAACCATCAGTGCACTGACTTTTTTAATCCTGATCAAAGTTTTCCTTGAAAGTAATAATACTTAGATTTATTTTCTGCACTTTTTACTACTTATAGAAGTGATCCTACAAGGACACACTTGAAAACTTCTAAAATCTACATGTTTTATATTTCAGTATTTGCTAGTATGGTTCATTTTTTGCTGAGCTTGTCCTCTAGTACCTGTTTTTTTATATCAGGACTTATTCTGAGTATCAGGTTTCGGTAGCGGACAGTTGAACATGGTGTTTGTTTTCCTGTGCAGAGGATGAATATCGGTCTGAGAGCATTCCTGGTCGTAGCTGATAAACTGCAGCAGAAGGACGGCGAGCCTCCCATGCCTAACACTGGTTGCACTTTACCCTCCGGGCACACACTCCGAGTGAAGAAGACATACCTGAGCAAAACGCTGACAGACGAAGAGGCCAAAGTCATCGGTGAGTGAAAGTGACTTCTCAGGAATGTGGAAAATGCCAGGGTTTTAGACTTGACGAGCATCAAATTTCCACTGACTTCATTTTTTTTCTTGTTTGAATTATTTCTCAGGGATGTCTCAGTATTACTTTCATGTAAGAAAAGCTATCGACAACATCCTCAGACACCTGGATAAAGAGGTGGGACGCTGCATGATGATGACCAACGCTCAGATGCTGAACAAGGAGCCTGAGGATATGATCACGTAAGCGCTTGTGTAGCTCTGTCATCCTAACACCAACACAATGAAAGAAGTCTCATTCATCATTTACTCACACCTGACTTAATTAACTCTGATTATTCACACAAGGCCCGATTAAGTAATCCTTCCTCCTTTTCAGAGGTGAGAGGAAGCCCAAGATCGACTTGTTCAGGACGTGTGTAGCAGCCGTTCCTCGCATCCTGCCTGACGGGATGTCAAAGCCGGAGCTCATAGACCTTCTCTCGAGGTGAGTCGCCTCTGTCTGCCAAGGTAATTAACCGGAGATCCAATCAAGTGTTACTAACAAGTGTGTGAAGTTTAAAACCTTTCCATGCAGTCCAGGAACCGGAAATTCCTGTTACCCTGGATTGAAATGTTTGTACTACGATTAAGATGTAATTTTCTCAAGCTGCTAATTATATCACTGTGGCGTCATCGTCAAGAGGAAGTCGTTTACCATAGTATGCAAATATGAACAGATATATCGAGCCTCAACAGATTGTTATGTAATCCTCGGGTTAAATTTAGCTCCAGTGACACCTACTCATTAGTGAATTAGTGAGTGTTTGTCCTTCAAACCCTTAATTTCTTTATTTCTCCTTTTCAGGCTGACGATCCACATGGATGACGAGCTGCGACTCATCGCCCAGAATTCCTTGCAAAGTCTGCTGGTGGATTTCTCCGACTGGCGTGACGACGTCCTGTTCGGATTCACTAACTTTCTGCTGCGGGAGGTCCAAGACACTCATCAGGGCCTGTTAGACACGTCCCTCAAATTACTGCTGCAGCTGCTCACTCAGTGGAAACTCACCCTGGCTGCACCGGGGAAGAGCTATGACACAGCTAAAATACACACTGCAGAGGTACACACCTCAATTAGCGCCTCTTTTTTTTACCTCTAATAAGCTGGAAAAACAAATTACAAATGATTTAATTAGTCTTAATCTGCCCTTTTGACAATTACTGTCAACACTTCCACTAATGCTCTTGACGTAGGAGAAGTCTCTAAGTGTGATTGTAATCATGCACCTGTATGATCAGCTCTCTTGTGTTTTGACATGTCTGTCTCAGCTGCTGCAGTCCAGCTCCAACCTGAAGATCCCTGCAGAGCGGGGTCCCCACTCCACTGTGCTGCACGCTGTGGAGGGCCTGGCGCTCGTGCTGCTCTGCTCCTGTCAGCTGAGCACGCGCAGGCTCGCCATCGCCATCCTCAAAGAGATCCGAAGCCTGTTCATGACCATCGGACAGACTGAGGTAGAATAAGTTAAAGTTAAACCGACTCAAAAAAAAGAATAACCGCTCTGAAAGACTGTGAACATCTACTTTCTCTTCTGCAGGATGATGATAAACCGATGATAGAAATCATGGACCAGCTCAGCCCTGTGATCCTGGAGAGTTTTGTCAATGTGGCGGTCTCTGACACAGTAAGTTGTGTAGCTAAAAACTGGACTCTGAATCTCAGTCTGCTGTTTATATCATAATGGAGTTGCCTGCAACTTTAGGTAAAACTGATCTGTACAGGGCTCGACTGTGCGACCGTTTTACTTGCATTTGCGACTAAAAAATATATGTGTGCAAATTGTAAAATGTCTTTAGGGGAACTTGTGCGCATAAAAGAATCAGCCGAGGCAAGAAATGTTTTTTCATGTAAGTACTGTGGTAAAGTTAGTTTTAGGTTGGATGTTCGACGGACATTCACTGCAGGTCTACCGGTGTCTTCTCACTCTCTATAACCCTGAATAGCAACAGCAGCGCCGTTAAATCTACTCGGCACCCTTGCTGTCAACATTGGATGTTGAATAAGGGACCATCAATAAATTACTGGTTGATGTTCTCAGAAAAGGCTGTTTTCCTTCAATAGCTTCCATGTCATGTGACCAAAAGACCTAAAATTGATTTCAAATAATAGTACTCATGTTGACCAACAAGACACATTACTTTACCAATTTTCATTGTGCCCCTGAAGTTCTTTGTGTGCTCCTTGTGAAAATAGTTAGTGACAAGCCCTGCTGTATTGTGTGAAAATTGAAATACTTTCAATATTTGTCTCTATTATGTTATCACTTCATGGAGGCTGCTCTCCATACTAGTTGTGAAACAGTTTCTCAGTGTAATAATCCGACATGTAAGAACTTGAATGAACAGCTGGACCCGAGCCGCTGTTAACTTTTGACCTCCTGTTATGTAATCATCATGATGTCATCAGGATACCCATGATGCAGTTTATTCAGAGGACGGGATAAAGAGACATAAACGTCATTAAATGTGAACTGAGTTTCTGACTGATGTGGGGTTTGACCTAAAAACAGTCTCAGTCACATTTACATGAAGATGAAAGATTAATGTCTGAGATGGTCATTTATGATTTCAACTATGACCTCTGAACTCTGACGCTGTTATACGTTTTTCTCTTCCGCAGGCCCCTCTGCCTGCCGGCCACCATATGGACCTCCAGTGGCTGGTGGAGTGGAACGCCCTCCTCGTCAACAGTCATTACGACATCAGGAGCCCGTCCCACGTGTGGATCTTTGCCCAGTCTGTGAAAGACCCCTGGGTGCTGTGTGTTTACAGCCTCCTCCGACAGGACAACCTGCCCAAGCACTGCCCCACCGCTCTCAGCTATGCCTGGCCGTACGCCTTCACTCGCATGCAGATGCTGATGCCCCTGGTAGATCCAAAGTAAGCGTCTGGTTTCACATTTTGCATGAAAACCCCCTTTTAAAAAAACAAATAAAAATCTATGTTTTTCCCGATGATTCCCCAGTAACCCCGTGTATGCGAAGAAGACAAGCATGTCTGGCAGCGGGGATAACTACGTCACCCTGTGGAGAAACTACCTGATCCTTTGTTTCGGGGTGGCCAAGCCCAGTATCATGAGTCCAGGCCATCTGAGAGCGTCGACACCTGAGATCACAGCCACCACACCTGACAGCGGCGTCAGCTTTGATAACAAGGTAGCTGCTTCCTCTGCCTTCATTAATCCCCCAGGTGTTTTGTCTCTCCAGGATCAGGTGTTTATGCAAAGCTTGTTGACATTCAAAGCAGAGGCATCGAGTTACACCGCAGCTTTTCTTACAGGAAGCCGATATATTCTCCACACACGTTATCAGACAATGCAGCTTCTCTTTAAGCTGCCTCAGGGGTTAATTTGTGTGACCGAGTCGTCTGTCTTTGACGTTTCAGGTCATCGGGAGTCCATCAGTGGCTTGGCTTCTGAAGCAGCTGGTTCCACTGATGAGGGCGGAGAGCATCGAGTTGACAGAGTCATTAGTCCTGGGCTTTGGTCGCACCAATTCACTTGTTTTCAGGTATATAAGAGGAAATATCGAGTCTGAGGAGTTTTTCTTTCATAAAAAATTACATTTAACAATTACGGCATGACAGTTTTTTATTCTTTTAAGTGTTTTTTAGTGTGTTTTAATAATTTAAAAGGTCAGAGCACAATCCATTATTTTTTAATAGTGAGAGTAGATGCTGATCTGTATTTGTCTGGACTCAGAGCGGAGATAAACAGAGGATTACAGTTGAGTGCTCTCTTGTTGCCGTTTACAGCTGCGGCTCTAAACTGTTTCCTAAAAGTCTGATTTTTTAAGCTCTCGTCATTTAAAACACGAAAATAGTTTCAGAGCAGTCTGGTTTTGGTTTACGTAACAGAACTTTTGTGCTCGTTATTAAATAAAGACTTTTTAATGATTACCTCACTGTCTATGTTTCCACTCAGGGAGCTTGTGGAAGAGCTACATCCCCTTATGAAAGAAGCATTAGAGAGAAGACCAGAGGTTTGTTAATTGTACTGAAAGCACAATGTGGCAATTTATTCACTAGTTAGAGATATTTATACTGTCTGCTGTGAAAAATGGTCATAATCAGAATTTGTCCTCCATCTGTAGAACAAGAAGCGGCGTGAACGGCGAGACCTGCTGAGGCTGCAGCTGTTGCGGATCTTTGAGCTGCTGGCTGATGCTGGTGTCATTAGTGACAGGTCAGTATAGCTCATGGTAACACACTGCATCCCACAAAGGAGGAGTTCAAGCAAGACAAATATAATTTAACCTTAACATTTAGCTGCAAAGCTCCCTATAATTAATTCCTGTTTCAGTTTGAATGTTGACTGTTTGATCGGGCTCATGTTGTTTGGTTTGTGTAATCATTGGGCGTTTCTCTCTCTCTCCTTTCCTGAAGCACAAACGGAGCTCTGGAGCGTGACACTCTCGCCCTGGGTGCTCTGTTCCTGGAGTACGTGGATCTAACCCGGATGCTGCTGGAAGCTGAGAACGACAAAGATGCTGAGATCCTTAAAGATATCCGAGCACACTTTAGCGCCATGGTGGCAAACCTGATTCAGTGTGTACCAGGTAAGGATTTAACTCCAACATCTGACTGATAAATTTCACTCCTTACTCAATCAGAGGATCTATAATGGTCATTTTCTTCTCCCTCTGTAGTGCACCACAGGCGCTTCCTGTTTCCACAGCAGAGCCTGCGGCATCACCTCTTCATCCTCTTCAGCCAGTGGGCCGGGCCTTTCAGCATCATGTTCACTCCTCTGGACCGCTACAGCGATAGGAATCATCAGATCACCAGATATCAATATTGTTCTCTCAAGGTAAACAAACTCCCCTCAGGATATTACCAGTGGTTCATTTAGGACTAGAGGAGCAACAGGTTCAGTAGGTTGGCACACGTGAGCTCTGTCACGTAATATTCCTTCTGGGAACTCAACACTTGCGAGAGCCAGTGTGAGGGCAGCGGTAAACAACTCAGCAGCTGAGTTACATAATCAGGAGAACTTATAGGAGCAGATAGTGACTCTCTGTGCTTATGTGGGTGGATAAGTGTATAAATCTTTGTGTTATGATTCGACAAAAAAGAAGTAAAACTGGATCCAATCCACTTTATTTATACAGTACATTTTAAAAACATTCAAGTTCACCGAAGTTCTGCACAGTAAAATCAAAAAGAGAAAAAACACTGTAAAAGTAAAAACATAACGAGAAAAGACATAAAAGCAGGTAAAAGATCATTTTAAATAAAATAAAATAAATAAAATAAAAACATTAAAGAAATAAAAGTAATAAAAGTAATAAAACACAGGGATTATGACCATGAAAGACATAAAAGCGGTAAAAGACCATTTAAAATAAAATAAAATAAAAACATTAAAGAAATAAAAGCAATAAAAAACACAGTGATTAGGACCATGAAAGACATAAAAGGACAGAGATCACACCACTCTCATGCTGAACTAAAAGCCAAGGAGTACAAATAAGTTTTAAGACGTGATTTAAAAGTAGGGAGAGTGGGCGATATTGTTTTTATCCTGAGTGGCATTTCATTCCACAATTTGGGAGCCACAGCCGACAAAGTTTGATCACCTCGAGTTTTTTAAAAGAGTTTTAGGGACAAAGAGTTGAAGCTGATCAGCAGAACTCAAGGAATGTTGTGGGGGTATAAACATTTAAGAGGTCAGAGATTTACTGTGGTGGTACGATTTCAAATGAATCAATAAAATGAATTCTAAAATGAACGGGAATCCAATGGAGGGATGCCAGAGTTGGAATGATATGATCATGTAAAAGACGAGCAGCAGCATTTTGGACTAACCGTAAGCGCATGAGGGTAAAACTAGAGAACAGTAAGAATAAGTTTCAAACTTGTGTCAGGATGTAAGTCTTGTTGTCTGTTTGTTCCTGCAGGCCATGTCTGCTGTGCTGTGCTGCGGGCCCGTGTTTGACAACGTTGGCCTCTCCCCAGATGGATACCTCTATAAGTGGCTGGATAATATCCTAGCCTGCCAGGATCAGCGGGTATGTGGCCAATACTTAACTAAAGCAGCGCATTTGAACAAAGAGCTGACCTAGAAAGCCCCTCTGATAGCTCACTGAAGCTTGCTTTGTAAGATTCCCAACACCAGACCCTGCCAAGCTCTCGCTATTATCTCACTGGAGTACTGGCAAGTGGTGAAGGAGGGTTGTGTTTCAAAATACATTTGTCTGATATCGTCTCCATTTGAATACACCGCGATAAAGAGCATACATGTGTATTTTTCTCCTGAGCCTGCACGTTTTTATTGAACGACTAGAATGTTTGCTTTATCTGGGCAGCTACCCAAAGATATGTCTTTTTCGTTTAGTATCTTTGTGTAAAACAGATGTAGAGTTACTGAGATCATTAAACATAGAACCTTGAAACCGCCAAAGTGTACTTGTTAATCAGAAATAAAGGCTGTCTTTATCAAGCTGTGTAATCAGCTGAGTCTGTGTCGGTGTCAACTCTTGGCTCAGGTCCACCAGCTTGGCTGCGAAGTTGTCATCCTGCTCCTGGAGCTCAACGCCGACCAGGTCAACCTATTCAACTGGGCTGTGGATCGCTGCTACACGGGCTCCCACCAGCTCGCCTCAGGGTGCTTCAAAGCCATCGCCACAGTCTGTGGCAGCAGGTACAAAGCCCCACCAGCCTCCTCTATCACCTGTTCAGCATGTGAAGACGAGCGGCCATGCTTTTGTGAAAGAAGTCTTTTCTTCGGTGGAGTTTGTATGAAACTGTTGTAAATTGTGAATTAGCTCAGAAGGTTCCCCTCAGCTTATCCACTTACAGATCATGCTCTCTTCTCCTTCATCATGACACATCTTCTTATTCTCCTTTCTCTCTTTACTTTACAGCAGAAACTATCCATGTGATATCGTCACACTGCTGAGTCTAGTTCTCTTTAAGGCGTCAGACGCCAACAGAGAAATCTATGAGATCTCCATGCAGCTGATGCAGGTAAGAAACACAATAACACTTCCCTTTGGGTTTTTTTTGTGTCTGTGCAATAAATGATAAATGACCCGTTCCTCTTCTTTCTTTTATAGATTCTTGAAGCTAAGTTGTTTGTCTACTCCAAGAAGATTGCAGAGCAGAAGCCAAACAGTATCCTCTATGGCACACACGGTCCTCTGCCACCTCTTTACAGCGTCTCGCTGCCTCAGCTCTCCAGCCAGCTGGCCAGGATGTACCCCGAGCTCACACTCCCTTTATTCTCAGGTAGCAGATAGCATCAAGTTTATCCTCTGTATCTGAGCGTGCTTTAATACCCTCACAGGCTTGTCATCTACTCATGGTTTCCCACTAAATGCTGCGTGCTCAACGTCCAAACCCAAGATTGTAGCTGTGTCTGTAGACACTCCCTCCAACCGCAGAGGGCTTTATTCGATCTTCTGATCATGTGCAGATCAGGATTAAACTGGCAATTATGGTGCAACCGGATGACAGTATTAACTTGACTTCAGTGTTGAACATAAACACCACAATCCCCGCTGATGATATTTTGATGTTAGAGTTTCCTTTCCTCTGCAGAGGTCAGCCAGAGGTTCCCCACCACACACCCCAACGGGAGGCAGATAATGCTGACCTATCTCCTGCCCTGGCTGGGCAACATCGAGCTGGTGGATAGCGGCCTGCTGCTCCCGGTTTTTACACCGTGCACGTCAGATTATGATGTTTCCAGCCGCACAAACAGCACAGCTTCAACTCATCAGCTGAAGGGCAGCGGCTGGGGCTCATTACAAGCCACTTCTATGGTGCTCAACAACCTCATGTTCATGACCGCCAAGGTAGAGCCATGCTGAGGAGATGTAATGAGTAAAATATGTGTAACAGCGATCAGTGCGGTGAATGTGTAGATGTGTTTTTCCCCCTCTGGTCAGTATGGAGATGATCTTCCTGGAGCAGAGATGGAAAACGCCTGGAACGCTTTAGTCAGCAATGACAAGTGGAGCAACAATCTGAGAACCACACTGCAGTTTCTCATCAGCTTATGCGGCGTGAGCAGTGACACCACCCTCCTGCCATATGTAAGCTATATCATTAAGCCCTCTGAGATTTGTTGCGCCGTCTTTTCTGCTTCGCATACATATTCTCGGATCTTCTGGTTTCAGATCAAGAAGGTGGTGATCTATCTGTGCCGGAACAACACCATGCAGACCATGGAGGAGTTGATATTTGAGCTGCAGCAAACAGATCCAGTCAACCCTGTGGTGCAGCACTGTGACAGCCCTCCTTTTTATCGCTTCAGTGCCACAAGCAAGACTTCCACAGCTGCTTCAGGTGAAACTTAAAAGCAGAAATCAAACAGGGTTGCTCAGTCCCAGTTGGAACTACTTGGTGGAAAAGTGTATTTGCTCTGAAGGAGATCCCAGCTGTGTGTTTTGTTTAGTACAACTTCTTTGCTCTGTTTTGGGGGATTTTTAGGCACCACATCAAGCAGCAACACTGTCGTCGCAGGCCAAGAGAGCTTCCCTGACACGGATGACACCAAGATTGTAAAAGAGAGCGAAGAGAGGTAGATAAATCATAGAAAACAGGTTAATAAAAGCTTTTAAAATTCCCACAATCATGATGTTTATTTGTTTTTTTTCTGACTTCAGGCTGAGCCACATAATGCGAGCCCACAACCGCCTGGAATCACGCTACAGTAACAGCTCAGGAGGATCTTACGATGAAGATAAGAGTGAGTGTTTTTCCGTACCAGACACCCTTTGAAAAAATGAGGTTTTCATGGTCTGGTGAGCGTGGAATAACACAGGCCGGGTTGGAGGGTAAAATGAGGACTGACGAGGTGTCATTGATAATGTATGAGCGCTGCGGAGAGGCCTGGATATTTTTTTTTAAAGCTTCTGTGAGAACTGGCACTGAAATAAAAGTAGTAGAGCCTAGGGCCTTCACGGGGCTGCCAGTGACCCAGAAAAAGGTTTTGTTGTGCTCTCTTGGTCTGAAATAGTCCTGCTGAGTTCTGGGAGTAAGAATAATTTGACCATGAAAAGCATCTTGTCAAGCTTCGAAGAACTCCTAAACTCTACTTAATAGCTGATATTTGTCTTTGTATCTCTGTGAAATAGACCATCAGCTGTGTTTGTATCCTTAACCTTTCAGGTGAGCCTCTGCCACCATATGCTGATTGGCTGATGGTTGTCATTGAGACCAACCAGCCCCATCCTCTGCCCATGCCTCTGAATGGAGGATGCTGGGCTCCACTGGTGGACTTTCTGCCAGAAACTGTCACTCCCAGAGGACCACTGCACAGGTGAGACTGAGGATACAAAGAAATAAAAAGTTTGAGTTGCTGGGCCTGCGACGTTATAACGCACTAAGGTCCTTTTAAACTTTGATAAATACTAAAACTGACCTTAAAAAAGGCAGAAAGCTTTTGAGTTTTCATGCCACACACTTCAAGGGTGATTTTTAGGGTTAAATATGATTTTAACCCTTTTTTTATATTAAATGACTTTGAATGACCCTCTGTGTTGCAGGTGTAATATAGCAGTCATCTTCATGACAGAGATGGTGGTGGATCACAGTGTGAGGGAGGACTGGGCCATCCATCTGCCTTTACTACTGCATGCTTTGTTTCTAGGTGAGTCTTATAATAATCAGACAAATACGACTCATAATTGATTGGACATGTCTTGGCTGACTGGGGTTGTGTGCCGATTCAAAATCAAGTCTGTCAGATGTTTTGGTTTTCCAGCTGGCATTGGTCTCAAAAAAGGTTTTTGAATATGAAAACTGGCGAAGGTCCCACGTTTGATGGATGCAAGCTGGCTCTGGCTGCTCCGCTGCATATATATGTTTCAGACTTTCTAAAGCTTTACACGTTCTAGCAGAGCATCTTTGAGACTTACGATGGAAATGAGGTAGAGCCTTCTTGTTTGGAGAAGCTTATTAAATGGAAGAACCCTATTCCACCAATATTTAGTCTTTGGATGAGGAAGGTCATGTGCCATCTTGAATCAGAGAAGATTAGATGTATCATGAGAAGACCAGCCTTAAAATTTTATTCTATTTGGGTGCTTTTCTTAGATTTTGATGGAGACAGTGCGGCGCTGTTACCGTCACTCTCTTGCCGCTCATGAAGCTCAGCTGTTATGTTCACGTTATGTTACCTGTGCTACTCGCTACATAGACTGTGAGCTTGAACGTTACCGGAAGAGGGTCCAACAAGATTTGATGCTCTTGTTGATGACTTTAAATGTTTAGAAAATAACGTCTTGTGTTGTTGTGCTCTTACAGTGCGAGTAGAAATTATTAGTGGCGCATTAATATTAAAGATCATGTGAAATTTCTGTAGTGGCGCACGTAATTCCGCCGCTTCTGAATGAATGTAGGGGAAATACTGAGGGTTATTTTTCCGGTATCTGATGGCAACAAAATTTTGTATTTGAGCTTTTTTTCGTGCTTTCTTTTCCTGAATGTGTGTCCATAAACGAGGGATAGATATGTGTGTCTAGTATGATATCAGACACTGTCATTGCAATCTCAGGACCAAAAACAATGACTGCTATAATAACAATAACAATTCAATATAATAACAATACTTTTTCCTCCAGGCATGGATCACTACCGTCCAGAGGTGTTCGAGCACAGCAAACGTCTCCTCCTCCACCTTCTCATCACTTTGTCCTGCAACAACAACTTCCAGTCCATCGCCACAGTCCTGCTTCAGACACGAAACATCAACGGCACCAAGACCCTCACCTGCAAACCGAGCCTTCAGCCCGAGTATCTCCCTGCAGGTACAAATAGAGGCCGCTCGAATACTCGTCTGTTTAGCTACAAACAATAGATTCAATCACACGTTACTGAAAGGTTAAAGGAGGTCTGGGTTCGGTTGACAGCGCAGGTTGGTATTTGACACATTACTCTCCTCTCTGGCTAATATAAACTGAACATCAGGAGGGAATGGCTGGCATTCCTTTCAGGGGATAGATACGTTGCTTATCTAGGGAGAAAATATTTTGACACTGAGCCAAAAGCAATATCGAGCACAGAGGACATCAAAGGTCCTGATTAAAGCATTCCAGTCTGCTATTTTTGTCCTCTTAACCAAATTGGGGCCATCTGCGAAGGCTTGACTAGGCTTTCCCTGCTCCCCTTCTTCCCCTGCTGATAATTTGTTTTGTAAATGTCTAGACGTTCGAAGATGTCGACATTATTCTTTGTCGACTCCTTTGCTTTGAGAGGGTTTTTGTTTTTCTTGGAAGCCGTAAAATGACAAATCTGTCTTTAACATCCTGAGAAAACACCCTTTTGTTTATCATATCTTTAACGCATGTTACATCTTGGCGAATTAGTGTGCAGCAGTTCAGGAGTTCCACCTGACAGGTTCACCGCAACAAATAAATAATGTTATCAGCAGCTAATTGGATTTAAATTCCAGACATGTTAAAACACTACAAGTGTTTTTTTATGTTACTCAAACTCCAGCCTCAGGCCCCAGTTTTATTAACAAAATCAAACTTCCAAACGAACCCATGCAACCTGTCTCTCCTCACACACACCTGTCCTCTCTGTCGTCTTCAGGAGGAGGTTTCGACTTCCTGCGGGAGTGTTCGGCATCTCCTGTGCCGGACTCTGGCTTGAGTTCTTCCTCAACTTCGTCCAGTCTGAGTTTAGGAGGCAGCAGCAACAACCTGCCCGAGATCTCACATGAGGTGGAGGAGCTGGTGGCTTCGAATAAGATGGATGAGAAGACCAACCAGCTGATTGAATTTTTAACCACAAGGTAACGATGTTGACATCTTGAGCCCCCGTCACTCTTAAAGAGTACGTTTTTTTCACTTCCCCTTAAAAAGGATGGAGGTATTTATTTAGAAAAACATGCTGATCAACTCTCTCATGAAGCTTGGTGTAGATTTCCACCTAGTGGTGCTGCATGCGTAGTGCACCCGAGTTTAGAAATAGATTAAATCTGATGTTCACACAATCGCAGCTGATTATTTATCTTAGTTGTACATGTGGGAATTTTTACTCTAAACATTAAATCTCACATTGTTAAAGGCCGAGGATTGTATCTGTTTATATGTGCCGTCAGTAAATAACAAACTCTTGTTTTACAGAGCTTATGGGCCACTGTGGTGCCATGAAGACATTTCACCAAAGAATCAAATTTCAAAAAGCACCGGGCAGCTGTCCAACTTCCTCCGACATGTTGTCTCTATATTCAGAGAGTCCAAATCAGGTAACCTTTCATTTTCTCATTTTTACTGAACCCGTTTCTATTCCCAGTCAGGTTATCTTGTTAATTCTTATCTCTGATCGCGTCAGATTTCCACCTGGAGCAGCAGCTCAGTGACGTGGCCCTGCAGACGGCCTTGTGCAGCTCTTCACGTCACTACGCCGGACGCTCCTTTCAAGTGTTTCGAGCTCTCCGTCAGCCCATCTCCGCCCACGCTGTGTCCGACCTGCTCTCCAGGCTGGTGGAGGTTGTCGGTGAACATGGAGAGGAAGTGCAGGTCAGAGATCAGCTCTCTAGCTATTTCTCTTCTTTATCTTATCTCAATCTTCTTTATAACTCAGATTTGTGTTTTTTCTCTCTTGCAGGGTTATGTGCTGGAAGTGTTACTCACTCTGGAGTCTGTGGTGGACAACTTGGCTGAATGTCTCAAGAACAATGATTTTATGGCTTTGTTAACAAGGTCAATGCTTCCTCTACATGAATTCACATAGACCAAAGCTGTTTCTTAAACAGGCTTTTAAACATTGCAATTTCCCTTTGATTGCAGAGCCTCATCTCCAGATTTCATCACCAGTTTCAAGCAGCTGTCCAACAGGAAGAGCACAGGGCAACTTAATCTCAGAAGAGAGGAGAGGAGCCGCCATCAGAGGAGCTCATCTGTCCCCAAGAAGTTTGGAGAGGCGGATAGATGGTCTGATCCGCCTCGCAGTGCCACACTGGACCGCATCCAAGCGTGCGAGCAGCAGGCGCTGTTAGCAAAAACCCGCAGCCCATCTTCATCTAAAGACAACATCAGCGACCCCACCAACATCAACCACCCCAGCAACCTGCTGGCCACCGTCTTCTGGGTCGCAGTGTCCCTGATGGAGTCCGACTTTGAGTTCGAGTATCAGATGTCTCTGAGGCTGTTGAACAAGCTGCTGGGCCACATGTCGCTGGACAAACAGGAGAACAGGGAGAAGCTGGAGAAACTGCAGAGCCAGCTGAAATGGAGCAGCTTCAGCGGGCTCCAGCAGCTGCTGTTAAAGGGCTTCACCTCTGTGTCCACCACTGACCTCACGCTGCAGCTCTTCTGCCAGCTCACACCTGTGTCCAGAGTGCCTGTGGTGGACACATCACAAGCTATAGGTACACCCTGGATAGATGGATGGATAAAGAGTTTGAATGTAGATATCTCTAAAGTGTTAAATGCCTCTAAACTGTTATTTTAAATCTGGAAAATTAAGATTAAGGATTTTTTTGTGCATCCTGCAGGTTTTCCCCTGAACGTCCTCTGCCTGCTCCCTCATCTTGTGCAGAACTTTGACGGCCCCACGCTTTTCTGTCAAGATGTTGCAGAGAGGATAGCCAAGGTTTCGCTCAACTTCATATTCCACCTAAAAATGTATAAATTAATTTGATAGTAGTTTTATTTTCCAAGCTGATGCACTCTTTTTTTTTTTATGTAGGTTTGCCTCGAGGAGAAGAACGCCAAGCTGTCCAACCTCGCTCATGTCATGACTCTGTACAAAACACACTCCTACACTCGAGACTGCTTCTCCTGGGTGAACGTGGTGTGTCGGTATCTTCACGAGGCTTTCTCAGACATCACGCTCAACCTGGTCACTTACATGGCAGAGGTTTGTAGAGCATTTGTAGAGTCTTGTTAACATTTTTAATATTTGCAGCTTTTCAGGAGTTATGAGAAGTTGTTTTTTTTTTTTTCAGCTGTTAGAGAAAGGTCTCCCCAGTATGCAGCAGACCCTTTTACAAATCATCTACAGCCTTCTGAGTCACATGGACCTGAGCGGGATTCAAGCCAAACCCTTCAACATGGAAGTGCTTAAGACGATTGAGAAATTCGTCCAGGTAAGTGAAACAAAAACAAACTTTTTCCTGGTAAGATTTGACGTCAGACATGATCACAGAAGATCTGCAGGCATTCAAAGTTAAAGCTGCGTGTTCCTCTTGTAAGTGGAAAAAAAGGAAAGAAAACAGTCTTATGTCAGCGCAGTAAATTTGTAGACACACCCAAACTATAAACAGTCTGCCGTTCTGCCACAGGCTCAGGCTCTGTTTATACTCACACTGAATCCATTTTCCTTTAGCTTCCTACTGTGAGCGCACTGCCAGAACACTTGTCTCTAAAAATAGAACGACAATAAAGCACAGAGAGAGAGAGACGTTTGTAAGTGTTTGTTCCTACACACATGGCTTTGTTGGTTTGTGTCTGTGTTCACGGATGAATCGGTGTGTGTGTACGTCTGTGTTGACTTTAGACGGTCCATTGGGGGGAAGCGCTGAATATCCTGAAGCTGGTGGTTTCTCGATCGGCCAGTTTAGTGCAGCCCTCGTTCCCACAGAGTGACCTCTCCTACGAGGACAACAGCCGCGTCTGGGACCGCTCCTCCAAGGCCCTGCCTGGGAAAACGCTGGATTTCCACTTCGATATATCCGAGGTGAGACACTTTTTCTCTGACGTTCTCTTTATCGTGTGAGAAAGCCGGAGTGTAACGCTTGTATGTATGTTTTCCTGTATTTTCCAGGGTGTGGTGCTTGTTGAGGTTTTGTGGAGTCTTGTTGAGCTTTAGCAAAGGAAACATTTCTTCCCCTTCCTCATTGCTGATATTTCTTTTTTAACCAAACCCCTGGAGATTAGCTCGAAAGCTCTGAAGGTAAACACAATTAGACCAAGCAGTGCAGAGCTGGAAAGTGATGTCAAAGATACCGTCAGAGCGGCGTGTGTGTGGGAACGGGACAGGGAGCTATTTGTGTGGTTCATGAATGGAAGGAAATGATGTCAGCTCTTTTGCCGCCGTTCTTTGTGTGTGAATCAGTTTGGATAGCCTGCAGTGTGTGTGTATTTAAACTTGAGTTACACAGGACAAACCACTTTTTGTTTCTTTTTAGGATATTTTTAGCCTCACGGAAAAAAAAAATCACAGCTCCAAAAGGTTTATTTTTGGGGTAAAAACGTAATCTTGATAAAACAGCTCATCCTGAAACAACTTTCTCTGACTCATTCACAGTCCCTGTATTAATCTGTGTATTTTTTTGTATCTTTTCTGTTAGACACCGGTGATAGGACGGCGCTTTGATGACCTGCAGCGCTCTCCAGGCCAAGATGTGAAGAGCAGGACGACCGCAGTGACCCGCAGCACCTCCTCCACCTCCTCTGGATCCACCACCAACAATGTGCTGGTGCCAGTCAGCTGGAAGAGGCCTCAGTCTTCACAGGTTGGCACACATCCTGTATGAAAACTGTGCGCTGAGGCTGCAGATTGTCATTAAATCACAGAAAATAAGTCAACACCAAGTCCATCTGTTTTTAAAAGTTGGAACAAGCTCAGCAAGATGCAACAAATTGCAGCAGCTGCCGGCAAACTAAACCTGCAAAAAGAGTTTTAAATTCTTGAATTACATGCAAAGGTAAATGGACTAAATGTCCTGAGAATGTGTCCAGAAAGAGATCAGATGTTCATACACAGAGTAAAAAGAGTCTAAACTGTTATAAGAGTTGCATGAAATCAAAATGCCAGCTCTTATTTTGTTAAAAATATTCATTTTTTTTCCCTCTTTGCAGAAAAGGACACGTGAAAAACTGGTGAATGTGTTGTCATTGTGCGGACAAGAAGTGGGACTCACAAAAAATCCCTCAGTAAGACACACTTGATTCAAACTTTACTAAAATGCTTTTGAAACCAACTTCAGTCCCTTTTTTTTTCAACTGGTTTGTTCGTGTCTCTGCAGGTGATCTTCTCCAGTTGCGGGGAGCTGGACCTCATGGATCACCAGCCCAGCCTGGTGTCCTCTGACGATGGAACCCGAGAACCGGACAACATGGATGACAACACCTCAGAGCAGCAGTTCAGGGTCTTCAGAGACTTTGACTTCCTGGATGTGGAGCTTGAGGATGGAGAGGTGAGGAAGAGAAGAAAAACACTTCTCCATATCAGCATAAACAGCGAAAGTCAAAATGAGAAGATGTATTTGAGCTCATAGACGGTGGAGGAGTTCACTGTTCAGTCAGGTCTGCCTGCTCTGTGTAATGAGCTTTCTGTTTTCTGCCTTTATTTCTCTGTCTGTGCTTCAGGAGCTTCAGGTGAGTGTAGACATGTTATGATGTTATTGCTGTGTTTTTAAGAGTGTGTGCCTGCAAACAGACAAACTGATGACAAAGGGACGCAGATTGTTTGCATGATCAGTCACTTACAAAGCAGACGATTATCTCGACTCTGAAGTCTGGGAGAAAAAACTGTGTATTCGGCTTATTTCTTATTATCATAAGTGTGTATTTCAAGTAGGCTTAGACTTGCAGTGTAATAGTGACGTGTGACCTGCATGCCATCATAAAATACAATCAGGAGGAGTCATTGTTCGACCAGAATTTGACTTTTTTTAAAATCGTTTCCTGGTTATTTATAGAAAAAAACTCCTCTCTGACATTTAACTGTATACTTATTTCTTACGTGCATGAACATAAAACTTAAACCTGCATGATTTTTCTGGTTCCCATAGATATGAACTCCATGTAGTTGCACATTGTTATGAAAGAAGTCCACATGCACTTTCCGCTCGGTGTAAATTGAGAATCCGTCATTTTTCATTTGCTAGTTTTGCATTTTTTCTCAACTGTGTGTAGTTTTAGCTCCTGTCATCACAATCTGTGGATGTGGAGATTTTGTGAAAAGTGGAAGTTGGAAGAAAAGTTACTCTGTGTTTTTAACAAGCTGCTGTCAGACTCAGAGGATAACATCTGTAAACGTTGTAGTCTTAGATTATCAGGGAGGGGAAGAGGGCAAAACTCACCTGAATCTGCACAGCGGGGTTATATTAGTACATACACAGCATACAGAGTGTGTATGTGTGTGTTGGTGTTAGACAAGAGTCACCATCATCATCAGTACTTTGTAACTCAAGGACATTCCGTATTGCAGGGAGAAACGATCGACAACTTTAACTGGGGAGTGCGCAGACGCTCCATGGATAGTCTGGACCGCAACGATCTGCAGCCGCTGGAGGAGAGTCAGCTGTCCATCAGCATGCCCAGCCTCAGCAAGATCACCCATGAAGACTCGGACGAGTCGTCTGAGGAAGATTCGCTCACTGCCAGCCAGATCCTCTCCCACTCTCAGCTTGTAAGTCTTCATGGTTTTTGTCAGCACTTCCAGAAATTAGGTGCCAGCTTATGAAATAATAGAAAAATTAATGTTTTGTAATCAGAAAAAAACGTTTTTCTATCAAACTCTTTATTTCAGAAATGCTGTTTGTTCATTTCAGTTCAAACTTTTGCCTCATCCCTCTGTAACTCTGTGACTCCAGACTTTCATACCGTGTGTGGTGGCAGATGGAGAGCCCATGTGTCCATGCAGCTGTCATCCCACCCTCCTCTTGCTCTTAATTTGTCAGCCCCTCCTGAAGTCTCATTACTAACCAGCAGTTCAGGGATAGTGTAGATTTCCTGAAAGATACCACACATGCTTTTTCAGAAAGGATAACACCGACTTTGTCTCTTTGCAGACTGTCAACCTCTCACCAACGGCAGAAAGCAGTATGGACTCTCCCTCCACTTTTTTTGACACAAGCTCAGCTCCTTCAACTCCTCTGAACACCAAAAATCCAAGTTTCGAGGTCCACCTGCCCGAGGACTCGAAGCAGCGGGTGAATAAGGGCTTCAGAGTGTCTGAGATTCTGGGAACTACTAATGCTTATCGCAGCTCTATGTTCGAATTCTTCACTAATTTTGCCAAATAGGAGCTTTTCTGTTGCTTTTCTTCTTGCGTAATGTCTTGGATGTGTTATGCGCTTTGGGATTAGTCTGTCTTAAGTATTATTTCGTCGTTCTGTAACTTTTTCTACACGTCTTTTCTGCAGAGTACAGCATGCGCCGGTCTTTTTAGGATATTTTACTTGCATGCAAAATGGGGAATGAACTTAACAGCAAGTGGGCAAATCATAACGCTTCGGGCTCTGGGCTAGTTTTGAACTTAATTCGATGCAGCAGAGGTTATCTGGGTATGTTAAGGGGGTCATAGCCGGCAGTAGAAAAAAAAAACAAATCTCTTTTCTCTCTGTGTCTGTCCAAGAAGGCAATGTGTATACCTAAAAGGCTTCTGTGTGGGTGGCTACAACTAAAACCTCTTGGCATGTGGGAGCTGGAGAAAGGTTTACACATTGCCTGCCCCAAAAATCAAGTATTCAAGGCCACGACGCTGGCTGAATTCAAATGTTTTATAACTTTTATAATTGGCACAAAATGAAATATTTTACAAATAAAAACACCACAAGGAGTGTCCGTAGGGTCCGCTACCCAGGTTAGTGTACTCATCATATCAACATTTACCCGTTTGTTAATGTCAAAGGAGCACGCTGCTGTGTTTTTTTAGCCTTGACTGCATGCTGCTACATTTTTTGTCGTGACACTCGTTTAGAGATCGTGTCCTCGTCTCTGTCTTTCAGCATGACTCGTCACAAGATGATGAAGATACAAACATCCAGGAGGAAGAGCTCTCTCTCTGCATCACTGAGCTGCCCTCCGACTTCAACAGCGGGGACAGTTTGACGATGGACCTGGTTCACCTCGACTACAAAGGAGAGCTGGACCTGGACAGCTGCTTACCCAGGTACCCCCCCCTCACGGCCCGTCCTCATGAATAAGCAAAGTTGTACAGAGTGACTCGGTTCATGACCGGTCTTTCTTTCTTCATGTTTGCTCAGTCTTGCGGAGGAGGAGAGAGACGACACTTTAGAGTCCCGCTCCTCACCGCCACCGTCACCCTTCTTCTCCGCCATCCTCGCGGCTTTCCAACCGGCCGTGTGCGACGACGCAGAGGAGGCTTGGCGGAGTCACATCAACCAGCTGGTGTCTGACTCAGATGGATCCTGTGCAGTCTACACTTTTCATGTGTTTTCCTCATTATTTCAGGTGTGTATCATCACAGTGAGGAATAAAAGTGAGAGAGTAACAGGATTAGTCGTTCGCCTGATTAACCTTCAGAGAAAAGATGCTTCCAATCAGGAGTCGGCTGAGTAATTACAAATAGAGGGCACTTTCTTTCCAGATGCTTTCAGCTTGAAAATCCTCCGTCATTCATTATCCAGATTTATTCACTTCACTGACCAAAGCTGACAGGGAAGAATTTGAGGAGAAAGGAGTGATAAGGACAGACTGTAAATACCTTAAAGATGTAGAAGTGGTTTTGACAGAATCCCAGCAGGCCTTACTTCTACTAAAATGTGCTTTACAGAATATCCAGACCAAGTTCTGCTCCCTGACCTTCGACGCTGTGAGTTACCTCGGTGACGGCCTCAGAGGATTAGGATCAAAGCTCCTGAGGTCCTCTCAGATGCTGACATCATGCTCAGAGTGTCCGACACTGTTTATCGATGCAGACACTGTGAGTAAGATGACATTTAAACGCTTGTCTGTGTGTTTTTAAACAGTTTTCAACAAATTAAACAACATGTTTTTTTTCCACAGATCATGTCTTACGGGCTCCTGGAGAAAATGAAATTCAGCGTATTGGAGCTTCAGGAGTATCTGGATACTTACAACAACAGAAAAGAGGCAGCTCTCTCTGTAAGGAAGTGTTTTTTACAGGCCAAGTGTTACCTGTATGTCAGGTTGTTTATGGCATACAGGTAACAGTTGATGTTATTATGTTATGTTATGTTATCTTACATTATATTATCATTATATTATATTATATTATATTATATTTCATTATATTTTATTATATTACATTATATTATGTTATGTTATGTTATGTTATGTTATGTTATGTTATGTTATGTTATGTTATATCATATTATATCAAATCAATGTTATTTTTGTATCCAACAGTGGTTGAACAACTGTAAGGCAACCTTCCCCAAGAGTTCAGAGGGCAAAGTGGTAACATGTCAGCCAGCAGAGCATGAGGAAAAGGTAAAACCTTATCTTTACAGGGATGGAGCAGTAACTCTAACAGGCTGTTTTATGAGCTGAACTGTATTATAAAAATGCTGGTTGAGTATTTGAGTGCTTTATGCAAAAGTGCACATACACAAATGGCTCATTTTAATGTTAAAGAAGAGAGATTTTAACTGTATAGCAGATTAGAAAAATGACTGAAAATACAAGAGTCCACTCCAACTGACCTCTCCTACTGTATCCTTTGCATTACGATTACTGTGGTAGCTCTGTGAGTGTTACCTCTTATTTTCTCACACTATTTAAATGTCAAGTTTCAGACAACTTGGAGTCGCCACACGTCACAATAATTTCTCTCATTTCGGCGTGCACTGTGATTATTTTCAGCTCTGCTGAGCATGAGAGCCAGTTCTCTTCTTGAGTTGCATCTGAAATAGCGATTCACTGTTACACTCACTTTATAAGCGAGGGAAGAAAACAGCAAAATGCAAACTTTTGCTGTTAAATTTGATACTTAGCAGCAAAAAATGTGCCACCAAAGTGAGTGTGTTTATGCTTATTAACAGGCAAAATGATTTGCCTTGCTTTTTTTAAATTAAAGGGATCCTGTGGAGTTTTTTGCAACTACAAAAATATGAATCAAATTAAGTTTCAACACCAGAGCGCTTCCATCAGCTCTTTCTGAGTATTGTACATTTAACACAGTGAACGTCAGTGTTTACTGCACAAGATGGTTGTTTTTTGGCACATTGGAATTAATCTCTCTTTGTAAATTAAACTGCACATTATGTCGCCCATGTGTGCCCACATGCACGTGCGTCCTTGTGCCAAACAGGGAGTATTTGAGAGAAAATCTTCACGGCGACAAGAAGAAAAAACTCCACAGTGAACCCGTAATCATTTGTGACTACCAGCCCTCCTTTCAGTTTTAATTCACAAATACGTCGACCCTCTTTTTCTTCCTGTTTGCATGCTGATAACATCACCTGTGCTTTTCTTACTTTTCACCCACTTTCAATAAGTCACGATAATAAGGATGCATGCTTTTCTTTTGATTCTGTTTCCCTGACTTCTTTTCTATCCTGTAACACGCTTGCTTTAAAGCAAATGGAGTCTCTGGCTGTAAGTTGGAAACGCTTGTTCCTATTTGTTGTTTTGAAATGTTCTGTCTTTACAGCAACAGCTCAGTGTACTGTAATTTCATTTTGCAGCACTCATACAAGTAGATCTATTAAAGTTTATTATCATATCCCTGAAATTATCTGATTAAGTCTAAAGTGATTCATTAGAAAGAGTAGATAAAAACAATGAAAAGACTTCCTCCTAACCTTCCCTTTCCTTCACTTTTAGCAACTGGAGCTCTGTCAAAGACTCTACAAACTCCACTTTCAGTTGTTGCTGCTCTTTCAGTCCTACTGTAAGCTGATCGAGCAGGTCCACGCCATCAGCTCTATTCCTGAGGTAGGTTCAGCAGCGGTTTGCTCGTCACCTTTTTGTTTTATTTTTGAACCATGACACCGTATCATCTGTGTACCTGTTCCATTTTTCAGCTGACAAACATGTCCAGAGAGCTGAATGAGCTGAAGAGCAGCCTGAGGGTAGCAGCAGCTTCAGTGACAGAGAAAGAGATGTCTGCCTGTGAAAGCTCCCACTCTGAGCCCACCTTCAGCACCTCTGAGGCTGCCGTTCAGGCCATCCTGGAGTGTCTGAAGAACAGTGAGTTTCAGACGGCTATCCGCAACATTCGTGAGTGCAGGTAAGAGAAGAAAAAGAAAGGCTTGTTCACTTTACAGTGTATAAAGCTGCTAAATCCATGGTGAATAACATTACCTTTTCTTTGTAGAACGATGTGGCCGAGCGACATCTTCGGCAGCCCCTCTGAGGATGAGGTCCAGACGTTACTTAACATCTACTTCAGACACCAAACCCTGGGTCAGACAGGAACTTTTGCTCTGGTGGGCTCAAAACAGGACCTGACAGAAATCTCAGTCAAGCTGATGGAACTCAACGGGGAGATTCGGGACATGATCCGGAGAGCCCAAGGCTACCGAGCCATCACAGCTTTCCTCCCGGACTCTAGTGTTTCAGGCTCGACTCTCTGATGTCCGCCTGACAGCATTCCTGCTCGGCACCCCTCATGCTGAGCCTCTGGTCTTGTCTAAGGTTGCTGCTATCATCTCAGTGGCTAACGAGCACTCTGCTCTCTCATGGAAACAGCAAAACCCCGTTCTACTCGTCTCTCTCCGAGCACATCAGAATGTCACAGTCAGATCTGCAGCAATATTATTTTTTGTAGAAAAGTGAGAGACGTCGCCGTTGAAAACAAAAAAGAGCCTTTTCTTGCACTAATAATAGAAAATGTCACAAAGCAAATCACTTGCTACTGAGGTCAACAACTTTCACTTTTAACAAAGGCAAACCAAAGCTTAGTGGTTCTCTTTCAGTTTGTTTGTTTTTTTTAATCGTCAAGGGAAAATGTGCAATCCTTCACAGAAGTGGAAGACTTTTACTGTATCCTGAAAGAATGTATTTGAATATCTATCAGTGGAAAACATGAGCATTGTCCGATCAGAAAAAAAAGGGAGGCTCAGTTACTCAGAGAAGTAGTGGGTCTTTGTTGTGTGTTTGTGAATTTATGTGTGAGTGTGTGTGTGTGTGTTTGTGTGTGGGTGCTGGAGTGTGTGATATTAACCTGACGACCATCATAGATGGAATTTAACAAACACTGATTTATACAATCAGTGCCATTTGCATTTAACTACTTCAACATGCTGCAAGACTACTGTAAAGTCCCCCAAACCCACACGCCGTGCTGCAGTGTGGTTTATCTGTTACTCAAAACATCTTACTGTACCTTTAACTGTGCAGCTTTTAGAAACTATGTAATTTATTTATATTGTTTGCAAGAGGAAAACATGCTTTTATCTGACTAGTTTTATAGGAAACAAATATTTTTGTTTCACCTGTTAAGCCTGCCAAGCTTGCAAAATTTGATGTACTATAAAGTGTAATGGTAATGTTTATGAACAAATACAGAAGCTATTTTAACTGAATTATTGTACATAGTACAAGTGGGGCTTTGCTCAGAGTCATAAGATTGTATTTTTATGAACTTAAAATATGAGTTGCTTGTAGATTAAAAGAGAAATTTATGGTATAGCCTCTGGCCTTGTAAATACTATTGCCTTTGCATTGTAATGTACTTTGGTGTTCTGTACACTCATGTAACGAGAGAAATAAAACTTACATTTGCTAACTACAGATGTATTCTATTATTTAAGTGTTTTATTATTATTATTGTTGTATCAGGGTTTGAGATATTTTGTTTCTTGCTTCCTCCTGTACTATTTTGGGAATTAAAAGATGGTGCAGCAACCAAAAACCTCAGCCGGTCAAGTCTGCAGAGGTGTCAGGAGTGTAAACACTTTACATAAATCATATGAAATGAATATAGTAGCAATAATGCATCAGATTTCATATAGCGCTTTATCAGAGACCCTCAAAGTGCTTTACATCAGATACAGCATTTATTCGCTCACACAGTCACACCCTGGTGGTGGTGAACTATCTTAGTAGTCACAGTGAGGGCAGACTGACGGAAACATGTCCGCCTACAGCCTCTCCTACCACCACACAACACTCACATTCATACAGCAGTGGAGGACACACACTGGGAGCAAGGTGGGTTAAGTGTCTTGCCCAAGGACTCCACAGACAGCCTAGGGATAGGAGGGAATAGACCTGCCAACCTTCCAGTTGTTGGACAACCACGACCTCCTGAGCTACTGCCGCCCACGCCCATAGTCACAGGTTTAGAATCTAATTTTTTTAATAACTGGTTTTATTGTAGTCACTCCAATTAATTGTAAGAGTAATAATAATAATAATAATAATAATAATAACAATAATAATAATACATTTTATTTAAAAGCACCTTTGAAAACACCCAAGGACACCAGTATAAGACACAGATAAAAACTAATTGTAAAAAGATAAATAGGTAAAAAGATTGAACTGTTTTGTTTGTTTTTTGTTTTTGTTTTTAAAAAATGTATTATAAAGTATTTTAAAGTTATCATTAAAGTGTATTTAGATTTAGCAAAAAAGGGGATAAAAGTTTGGACAAAGGCATTTGGCTGTTAAAACTTAGTGTTTTTGTTTTACATGGCAGAAATGACAGCATCGTTTACATCATGCTTTTTTTGTTGTTGCATGTTTAAATATATTGAAATATAGCATAAAACAACCGTAAAATTGTTATTTGTGTATTTTATATAAAAAATTTTGAATTTCGAACGGAATAAATAAAATGTGTATACGCCGTATAGCGATAATATTTTGGAGACTCTTATTTTGAAGTCGCGCTCACTTCCGGTTGTTAGCGCGCGGGGTTTGTTTTCATGTGGGACAAACTATCAGGGGGATTTTATGTCGTTTTACTTCGTGGTTTTCTGCTTTATTGTCAACATTTAGTCAGTTTTGTTATATCGACATGACAGAATACACTTTAATACTCCGTCATGGTGAGTTTAGTAACTTTAATATATCGAGCTTTTATTGTTTTTTTGCTGTCTGGTTTCGTTTTGGATGAATAACGTTCGTCTAAAATTATGTTCGCTACAAACACAACATTGTAAACATCTGTGTGTAAGACTTAAGCTTACATTTTAACTTTACTTGATGATTTGTTTTCGGTTGTTTTGTTGTTACATCGTTTAAATATAAAGTTAGCTCTTGTATTTGGTTAGCAGCGAGCTGTAAAATCAGTGGTCCGTGATAGCAGCGGGATATCTGACATCTTATCACTTCATTCAGTTTGTTTATCAAAGTATGAGATTAAACCTTTCTTTTTACAGGTGTGCCACATGACAGATTTTAGGGGGAATGAAATGGATTTGTCTTCCAAAAACATGTACGACGCTTTCAAAGATGAAATCTGGAAAGGTACGATAGATACGGAAGCCTTAAGCAGTCAGATCTGATCAATAATAGAGGCTGCACACTTATCACCCATTAACCATTCTTATTCTCTCATGTAGAGCTCGGACCACTGGATCCAGACTGGTTTGAAGTTCTGACAGCTCAAACTGTAAATAATGAGGACCATGTCTCTGATCAAGATGACCTGTGTGCAAATCAGGAGGGACAGTTTAAAGCACCTTTGGACAAAACAACAGTCAGTGTAAACAGTCAGCTGTTTTCAACCCCAAAGGTGTTCAGACACAGGACAGCTGTATCTCCTGAAACAGAGAATGAGCAGTCATTTACAGCCGAACAAGGTGATGTTTCACTTTTACTATAACCATTCATTTAAGTTCAGAATTTACAACACATACAGTTGATGTAACTGTTTGTGCACATGATCATAAAGTAGTTACACTGAAAGCTTTGCTGGGTTTGCGTCTGAAAACATGTTTCTCTTTGGTTGATTTTAGAAAAGGAAAAAATGTCGTGGACAGCAACACAGAGTCCATGTTTGTTTACGATGTCTAAAGAAGAGTAAGTGCAATAAGTCTGACACCATAGTGCTTAAAGGGATATTCTGACGTAAAATTAATTTAGGGTCAAACACACCATAACACCGAGTTAGACACCCCTGAGAGAGATGAATGTTGCCGACTGCTTGCTTCTTTAGTTATACTAACTTAAGTAACGACCACACGATAGCAATACACAACGGTCTGAGGAGCCATAAACAAACCTCAACCACCATCTCCTTGAAGTAATAATCACCATATTAATCATTTTGCACTGCAGACACGGTAGTTCTTCTGCCTTCGCGTCTTGATTTGATTGCATTTCCATGGAGTAATAATTATAAATGTTCTTCCTTGAGCTGCGTCACCCCGCTGTAGTCCGTAATGGACTGGCCCGAGGTCTCGCTACTGCTGGAAGAGAGTAGGTGAGTTGTGTTTAGTCTCTTTGCTAAAGAAATCAGGCAAAGCTATAAGGATGTTTGATGGCTAGTGCAGTGGCTGGGACCCTATATGTACTGTTGATAAAGTTAGGTGCTGTTCTGAGCATTATTTTGTGGCTATAGAGTGGCGTTTTGGTTGAGGTTTGTGTATGGCTCTTCAGGCTGCTGTGTATTGCTATTGTTCAGTCGTTACCACAGTTGGTATAAAAAGAGAAGCAACATTCGCGGGGGTGTCTAACTCTTTGACCCTAAATAAATTTTATGCCGGAATATCCCTTTAAAAAGATTTTTACATTGTTCCTGTTTTTAACATCTGTCTTGACTGGCCATGTTAGGCTCCCAGGTGGAAAGTATAACAGCATCCAGCTCCAGAGTTTAGACAGTTTTGGTGAGTTTCAGATTCATCTGTATTTTGTCTGTTTTAATGACATTTAATAGATGATTTCTGGTTTCATGTGTTTATTTGTTTGTTTGCTTTTACCATCTTTTACAGATCTGCTTCAAACCCCACAAAAATCCCCTGTAGGTGATCTTTTCTTCTCAAGCGTTTGCCTTTTGTCAAATCAAGTATATAAAGGTTTTAACTCCTTAAAATGTTAATTTTTTGATGATACAGATGAGTTATTCGCGGCAGATAACAGAGAGTCTTGGTGCTCAGGTTCACCCTGATATGACATGGACGAGCTCTCTGAATACCCCACCAGGAGTCCCATCCACCTTGATTTTAAGTGAGTAAATGACTATTGGATATACGAAATCTGTGTATGCTGAAAGGTGTGATTTGTTTGAAAATAAGCATTTGCACTCTGATGCAGCAAAACCAGATGAAAGTCCATGTGCGGAGAGTCTTTCCCCGGAGAAAAGTGTTGTTGTGAGTACCCTGTCATGCCAGAACATTCAATAGCAACATATACTGTATTATCAGATATATGCTTTCATTTCACTTGTGAGAATCTTCTTTTTTTTTACCTCTCTCAGCTTGTCCGGGAGCTTTTCCCGTCTGTTTCTAGTGCAAGAGTTGAAGTGAGGTCACCGGTAAATGCCGACAAGCCTACTAGTCCACAAGGTACCGTGTTTTACCTTCTTCCAACCCAGGATAAAACAAAAAATCTGATTAAAGCTCCTGTGATGAACCTTTGAAATTTGTCAGTATTGGTGCCCCCTGTTGAAAAAGGTGATCTTTGCCTGTCTTACCTCCAACGTTACCTTCACTGTGGGTCTCTGGCAGGTTTTGGACATGAAAAATGTCTGCATAGAAATTGTAAATCTTGTGCTGATGGTCTTGTTTGCTTTTCTATATTATAAAGCAGAAACAGTATTACTTTAAGTCTTCTTTATAACCTGCAAAAACTCCTCTCAGGAGCTTTAAGGAAAACTACACCATGCATTATTTGTGTGTCATGTGGTTTTGCTCCTTGAACACTCATGAATGTTGGTGTGTTATCAACAGGTCCTTGTTCGCCTGAGTTTGTGGAGAATCCAGATGATCAGAATCCAGATGATCAGAATCCAGAGTCCCATGACTCTCATCTGAATCAGAGTGATGATGTTTGGAAACAGAAGCTACCAGATGCTATTGAGGACGTAGACGTTCGATCCACTGTAGCGAGCGTCCTCAAAGGGGCAGAAACTGCTCTGTCGTTATTTTTCACCAACAGTAACTCAGCTCTGAGAAAAGTAAAAACTGACAGTAACAAAAGAAAACAAATCATTCGTACAGAAGACCCGGACTGTAGCGCCGCTGAAACCTCAACAACAACAAACAACGCTGGACCTGAAGAACAGGAAACAGCTGATCAGGGACCTGGAAAACTTCCCTCATCCCCACCGCTCAAAACTGGTGACAACGGACTCACACAGTGGTCTCCGCTGAGTTTGTCTGATATCCCATCTTGCACTGCTTCCTGCTATGATACTAGCACTGTTAAAGAAATCAAAAACAGTTCATTTACTGAAAAAATACAGAAAGACTCAGACTCTGGAAAACCTTTGACTGTAACAGACTCTGGTTTCCTCAAGAAAAAGAGGAAATTCATTTATTCTGTGAAGACCCCAAAACAACCAACTCAAGAGGAAGAGCCCCGGTCTGAGAGGACGGTCTCACCGCAAAGGATTCATGATTCTGGTAAAGATTTTTATGCCTACAGATTAAGAAATGCTTGACTGTGTCCAAAAAGGCTTTTCTTTTTACGTCTCATTTGTCTTTTTTACTTTCAGGATCAGACTTGAACGTGAAACAGCTGGAAAAGGCCCCCGTTGAAGCAGACTGCTGCAGTATGACTGAAATACAGAACCCTTCTGCACAGGCTGAAGTTGAAGATCTTGACATGTCGCAGCTTTGCAGAGATTTTGCACAGGACATCAGCGAAATGTCCGACCTGGATCAAACGGAGGATATCCCTCAGAACGTCTTCTCTCCGTCAGCTTGTCTGTCAGCCATGAAACAAGCCAAGCAGAAAGCAAAACAAACAAACTGTGAAGGGACCGGTGATATCAAGCAAATTTCTACAATCACCCAAAACAACCTCATCAGTGAGGTGACAATAAGTGACAGTGGATTTCAGTCTGCTGTCACAGATATCACCCACATGACTGCTTCATCGTTTGCTGTTCCCAGCACAGAAAACATCTGTCAAAGTCAACAGCAGTCTGGTTTGAAAACAGATCTCCACAGAGCTGCTCCTCTTCCAAATACAAACAAAGAAAATGTGCATTTGGATCATATTTTACAAGCTGATGCTAAACTATCCTATGCAATCACTGACAGCCAGTTTCTGGACCTTGGCAGAGAGAGTGAGTCACACATAAAAAACACATCAATGCTACAACCAAGCAGAGCGAAAGGACCGGTCGATAATATTGATCATGTTCCTTTTAATGGTCAAATTTGTGTCAGTCTGCCAGAGAAAACGGCGCCGTCTCTTCAGCCCGCTCATGCGGCAGGATTCAAAACTGCTTCAAACAAAGGGATACACATTTCTTCAGCCAACCTGCAAAAAGCCAGGCGCATGTTTGAGGAAGCTGAAGGAGAGATGACTCTGGGGGTGAAGTTTGGCCGTGACACGACAGGTGGGAATCTAAAGAGTCAGGATTCGGTGAAAACAACAACAACAACAACAACCCTTAACTCGAAGCAGCCCCCTCCTCCTTCATGTGAGAAATTAGCCGATTCGAGTTTCCAGTTAACAGCTTCCCAGAGAGCAGACGTGTCTGAGCTGTGCACCCTCCTGGAAGAAGCAGACAGCCAGTTTGAGCTCACGCCGTTCAAAACCTCAAAGCCAAAACAACCTTGTGCAGATAACACCACCTCTCCTCAGACCGCGGACAAAGATCTTGACCCTGATTTTCTCGCGGGCATAGACTTCGATGACAGTTTTAGTCTGGATGCTGAACAGCCTCATGCAGGACCTGTCAGGCACCTGAACACTAACTCAATTCCAGCATTCAATGTCACAAACAAAGCTACAGGTTTGTCACCGCTGAGCCTGGTGACAGAAGAAAAGTCCTCTGCTGAAGACGTGTCGGCCTCTATCTCTGAGGGTGGGAGCGGTATTATGTCAGCTGAAGTCAAAAATGCAGACAAAGCTCCACGATGCAAAAATCCTTTGATGCTCGGTGTGGGATTTAAGACAGCAGGAGGAGGAAATGTGAGAATTTCAAAAGAGTGTCTGAGTAAAGCGAAAGCTTTGTTTGCAGATTTAGAGGAAAACCGTAAGGAAGGACCTGATGCTAAAGCGCAGCATCAGCAGAGCGGGGATAATCACTTGGGTAATGCTTTGAACCATAAAGAGGATAATTCAAAGTTCAAATCTTTAGGAAATAATCCTGCAGGTAAAATTCAGAACATTAAGGAGTCTTTCTGTTTGGTTGAGCAGGTCTCAGGTGCGACAGATGACACAACGAAAAGTTTAAAAAGCACAAACTCATGGCAGGGTGGGTTCCAGATGGCCAGTGGAAAAGGAGTTTGTGTTTCAGCGAAAGCTTTGCAAGAGGCAGATGCTTTCTTTAAAGACTGTGACGTTATCGACAGAAAGGAGAGCGTGTCTGAAAAACCAAGAAAGAAAACTGAACCCTTGTGTAGGAGTGTCCGAAGGTCTGATTTCAAGGATAAACCGTCTCCGGCACATACAGCTGCTCCCCATGGAAACCTTTCTGTGTCTGCAAAGGCTCCTCCGTCACTCTCCTGTACAACACCAAAGAATATCACCTCCTCTAGCATCGATAAATTAGCAGAGGATTCAAACAAACTGCTAAAACAATCAGCAACTCATCGTCTCAACTATCACACTCAGGCCGCAGCACCTGATAATGTTGGTTTTCAGACAGCCAGTGGCAAAGGTGTCGCCATCTCAGATGACGCTCTCAAGAAAGCAAAGTCATTTTTCAGTGAGTGTGATGAGATGAGGGATGAGACCGGTGGAAAGACAGAAACACACTTCAAGACGCCGATTCCTCGGCCAGCACCGAGGAGTGGAGGATTTCTATCGGCTGGTGGAAAGTCAGCGGCACTTTCAGCTGAGGCCCTTCAAAACAATAACGCCCTCTTCAACCTCGATAAGGAGATCCCATCAGTTTCAGACAAGAGGAGGAGCAATAACAAAGAAGAAGAAACTGTAAAAAATAAGATTTGTGAGAAAATAAATTTGGGTTTCTCAACTGCAGGGGGAGCAAGAGTCCACGTGTCAAAGACGAACCTTTTAAAAGCAAAAAACCTTTGGAAAGAATTTGACTCTGTCTCAGAAAAAGCGATGCAAGAAGTAGATGAATTTTTCAAGGACTGTGACATTACAGATAACTATGAGGCTTTTTCAGACAAGAAAAAACTTGTACAATTAAAAGAGGATCTAAATGTGACAAACATTTCTGAGAAGTCTGTAAACGGATGCTCTGAGATAAAAAATGTGGGCACAGTTAAGAACCATGAAAAGATGAAACCCCCGTATGATAAAGAGCTTCACAAAACATTTCATGAAAATACGCCGGGTCCGTCAAACAGAAACCCGCCTTTGATGACAAAGCCGGTCTCTTCTCCATTGTGCGCAGCATCAAACGATACTGGTGCCTCTGAATTCGGCGCTGGTGGTGGATTCTTCACAGCAAATGGGAGGAAAGTCTCTGTTTCTGATGATGCAATGGCCAAAGCGAAGTCTCTGTTCAGTGAAGGTGCCGCGTTTGAGAGTTCAAACAACCAAGTACATCAAGAAAAAGACAATATGTCAGTGCAGAGAGGTGGATTTCAGACAGCCAGCGGTAAAGGAGTTTCCATTTCATCTGCAGCTCTAAAGAAAGCAAAAACTCTGTTTGGTGAATGTAATGAAATAGAGGATAAAGTCGGGGTTACTCCAGCACAGATAGAGACGCCAGATTCTGGCCAATCAACCAGGAATCGACCGTTTTTATCAGCAGGTGGTAAACCAGTGTCGGTGTCATCTGAGAGTCTCCAGAAAGCAAAGTCTCTCTTCGATGATATCAGTTTAAACGCAGAGACTCCTGCAGTTTCAGACTCATCGACCAGCGACAAGAAACAAAATCCAGGACATCGTGGTTTCATGACTGCAGGGGGAACAAAAGTCCATATTTCACATAAAAGTTTGTTGAAAGCTCAGACCCTTTGGAAAGAATTTAATGATGGGGACCTTCACGGCGTACATCAGTCAGATCCGGCAAAAGCTAAAGATGTGACAACGACTTCAAAATCTGACCTTACCACAGCCACGTGCAAAGAAATGCCTCCTGAAAACAGTTTCCCACTGGAAGTTAAATCTTTAAATTCTGTGAAAAATACTGCTCATCAAAATGAAACCACTCAAAATTCAAGTTTAGACAAAAAACCAGCAGATGCTTCGAAGCTGGTAGAAGCAGACAAACTCCATGACAGTCCCAAAGGGGAAACATCAAGTGTGTTTGACAGACTTCTAAATCGGAGAAGCAGAAGTGAAGGTTCTGGCATTAAACTCATAGATGAGTCTTCAGTTCTGTGTCTACAGTCACTTCACCTCAGTGGCTTCTCAGAAACCCAGCAGAAGATTCTGGCCCAGGAGGCTCTGGACTGCACCAGAGCTTTATTGGAGGATGAACGCGTCGCTGGTCAGGATCTCTCAATGTCCACAGAAAACGCCCCACAGCAAGACGAGCCAAGATCCTGTGAGGAGCACAAAGGAAGAGGGAAAAGACCTGCAGAGGATTCAGATGTGGGAGGTGAGTGTCAGTGGTATTTATTCAAACTTCTGTCCTCAGATCTTCTTTGTGTTTCTAGATCTTTCTAAAGCATCCTTTGCCTTTTTTGCAGCATGAATACATTTTAGACTAATTCTTGTAGGATTTTTTGTTTATATATCCAGGGTTCCTACACAGTTGGAATTTCCATACTTTCCCATACCTTAACTTTTGGAATTATTTTTGAAAATACCTACTTTTCTATTTTAGAAAAGAGTATTTTAGAACTGTGGTAATAGTCTAGAAACATAAATATTTTTCCATACTTTATTTTTAATTTTCCATACTTTTTAAGGCCTGGATGTTGATCAAATTCATTTCCATACTTTCTATACTTGCGTAGGAACCCTGAATATCCAATCATGAGCATTGAGTCTACCTGTTACAATCATGAATTTTCTTATTTTGATTGTTTCAAAATTTTCCAGGTCAGCCCCCTCTGAAGCGACGCCTTCTGGAAGATTTTGACAGAACTGGTTCTGCGCTCCAACCAGAGATTAGCAACTCAAATGGTAAACCACTGCTGAAAATATTAAAAGAAAACTTATTGTAACACTTTACTCAACACCTATCTCTGTATCCCATTATAAATATATGTATAATGCGTTATAATCACATTACAGCACTGTATAAGTATAGTTATAAACACTCATACATGATAATAATGCTTCAAAGCAATAATCATAGCACAATATAAAGCATTTTATTATAACTTACAAGGTCAGGTATTATAATTTGTTCTGCTTATTGTTATAAATCATTATGATAATTAATGAGTGTTTATAATGATAGTTATACAAGTTTATAAGCAAATTTTAACACATCATAAATATATGTTTAATGCATTATCTATGTAGGCATTGTAAGTCGTGATAAAGTTCTTTATAATGTGTTTTGATTATTGCTATAAAGCATTATGATCATTTATGTGTGTTTATAATTATAGTTATACAGTGCTATAACGTTATTATAATGCATTATACATATATTTATAATGTGTTATAGAGATAGGCTTCAAGTAAAGTGTTACCAAACTTATTTTTTCCTAAAAATAACTTGTGATCTGTATTTTGGTGTCTCCCAGGTATGATGAAAGACAGGAGAGTTTTCAAGTACAGCGACTCGCTTCATCCAAACATCACGAAACCTCACAGGTAAGTTCCCAGTGTAAGTGTTTATCTGTCTTATACTTGACTGGAATTGTCTTACACCTTTTTGTTTTGCAGGAATGGGAACCCGTATGTGGAAAGTAAACCACAAAAGACGGCACCAACGCAACTCTCGTCTTCAGGAGGAAGCAGGTCCAAGACGCAGGCGTTTGTTCCTCCGTTCCTCAAGAATCCAAAGACAGAGAGTCGCAAGAATGCAATGCTCAGGGAAAACATAAGAACACCTCCTGCATTTGTTCCTCCTTTCAAAAAACAAAGAACTATTATCCAAGAGAGCTCTTCTCGACCAGGAGAGGGGGAGGATAAACACTGCAGTGTCGCTGGAATGCCAGCTAACAGCAACACTTACGAACCGCCCACTGAAAACACACAAAGCTTTGCACAAAGAACTGCTAATGAAAGCAAAGACGACAATCAGGCGGTGGCCTCAGATGACATTACAAAAGATAATCTGATTAAGAATGAAAATCTACCAGAGGACTCTGCTGCAGGAGACACATCTGGAAGTCAAGGTGTAGAAACCTTTTTGGATGAAGTCAGTATGAAACACTGAGAATACTGAAAATAAACGTGAAATAACCGTGTGTTTGTGTTCTGCAGAAATGTTGCAGGATCTCCAAAACGTAGAGCTGGCCCGAGACATGCAAGACATGAGGATCAGGAAGAAGAAGCGTCAGACTATTCGACCTCTGCCGGGCAGTTTGTTTCTAACCAAAACGTCAGGAGAGTCGAGGACGCCGTTAAAAGCCGCGGTAGATGGAAAAGCTCCTGCGAGATTCACGCAAAAACAGGCAAGGAGAGAGCATTTCATTATCAGCAGTTACAAACGACGTCAGTCAGGTTTTTGACACGTCCCTGTTCTTGTTTTTCAGCTGTATGGATACGGAGTTCATCAGTATGTCTGTGAGATCACCGGCGAGACAGCAGAGTCGTTTCGCTTCAGATTGCAGCACTTTATTAAACAGGAAGCCTTCATAGATGGCGGCGGCGTTCAGCTCGCAGATGGAGGATGGCTGATCCCGAGCAATGATGGGACTGCGGGGAAGCAAGAGTTCTACAGGTGACTACTTCTGAATGTTTCAGATAATAGATATGAAAAAAAAGAAAACACAGACGGGTGGTTTATCGTACTGATATCACCTCTCTCCGTGCCGTCAACAGAGCGCTGTGTGACACCCCAGGCGTGGATCCTAAACTGATCAGCGAGGAGTGGGTCTACAACCACTACAGATGGATTGTGTGGAAGCAGGCGTCCATGGAGAGATCGTTTCCAAGAACGGTCGGCGGCCTCTGTCTCACCCCGGAGCAGGTTCTCCTCCAGCTTAAGTACAGGTACACCGGATTAAAGATAACGTTAGTGTAATGTCCTCCCAACCTAGAACTGCTTTGAACCAGCAGGACACCCACCCACCTTGTTTCAAAATGTGTCTAAATACACCTATATCCAAATCCTTAAAATGTCACTGTTTGAATTACAATCTAGATATGACGTGGAAGTGGACCACAGTCGAAGGCCGGCTCTGAGGCGGATCATGGAGAAGGACGACACAGCAGCCAAAACCCTAGTCCTCTGTGTTTGCGGGGTCGTCTCCAGGGGCCAGTCCCCCAAAAAACAGAGTTTCAGTGACGCCAAGACTCCACAAGGTGGCGACGCTCGAGTAGAGAACCCATGTGCGGTTGTTTGGCTGACAGATGGATGGTACGCCATTAAAGCACAGCTGGATGAGCCCCTGACTGCCATGCTTCACAAAGGTCGCCTGGCTGTGGGCGGGAAGTTGATCACCCACGGAGCTCAGCTGGTCGGATCACAGGACGCCTGCTCCCCTCTGGAGGCCCCTGAATCTCTCATGTTGAAGGTAAGACTAAAACCAGATCTTTTAGCAATCAATACGACAAATAAATAATAAATGTCCTCATTGATTGTTCGTTTAGATCTGCGCGAACAGCAGCAGGCCCACGCGGTGGGATGTTAAACTGGGGTTTCACCGGGATCCACGGCCTTTCCTGCTCCCTGTTTCCAGTTTTTACAGCAACGGTGGACCAGTTGGATGTGTGGACATTGTCATACTAAGAAGCTACCCCCTACAGGTATGTGCTGGCCTTCACTTCTCTATCTCAACTGATTCTCCTGCGAGCGAATGTCTTAATTTCCTCTGCGGTACTCTCTAGGGGTGGGAGAAAAAATGGATTCACATAAGTATCGCAATTTTTTGTTTTACAATTTTTAAATCGATTTTTATGTTCAACATTTATTTTTTCGAATGAAGGAATAAATCTTAAAAACTAACTTACATGTGATGTGTAGTTTTTGGGAAAATATGGTTCCTGGATTAGTCAGTAGACAATCGTAATCAATCAACTGTTTCACTGGTGAAATCGAGGAAATTGTCAATGTCGTAGAATCGCAGTTTAAATCAAATCGGCATCCAAAAAATCATAGAAGAATGGATTCAGGAGAAAAAGTGCTCTCTCTGTGTCGCAGTGGATGGAGAGGAAACCAGACGGAGGCGTCGTGTTTCGTTCTGTACGCGCCGAAGAAAAGGAGGCGAGACGATTCAACAACGACAAACAAAAAGCCATGGAGGTCCTGTTTACAAAGATTCAAGCTGAATTTGAAAAAGAGGAAAGAGGTAGGGGCTGTGTTTAGATTAACCTATTATATTAATATATGTTGGATGAACGAGCATTGAAAGGTTTCCACTCTCAGGTAAAAGCAAACCTCAACGCAGAAGACGAACAATCAGTCGTCGGGATGTCACGAGTCTTCAGGATGGAGAGGAGCTCTATGAGGCTGTGGAGGAAGACCCTGGTTACCTCGAGGTGATTAAGGAATTCATTTAGCCGACTTGATGAAATTTCCTCATGAATATAATTTTAATTGCAGATCTGTTTGATTTATATCGAAGGCTCAGCTAAGTGAGCAGCAGCTGAACACTCTTCAGAGCTACAGACGGTCTCTGATGGAGAGGAAACAGACTGAGCTGCAGGACCGTTACAGACGAGCTTTAGAGAGCGCAGAGACCAGTGAAGGGAGCTGTCCCAAGAGAGACGTCACACCTGTGTGGAGGCTCTGCTTCTCTGACTCCAGGGGACATCCCGGCAGTAGTGAGTCTTTGTTTTCATCTGGATACATACACTTTAGTTGTTTTATTCTGCTAACAATTTGGGCTTTCTGTCTTCTGCTGTTGTCGCTTTAGTTTACTTGCTGAATCTCTGGCGACCGACCTCTGACCTTCAGTCTTTGCTGAAGGAAGGCTGCAGATACAAAGCCTATAACCTCACCACCTCAGATGGAAAGAAACTCGGGGCGAACCCGAGTGTTCAGCTGACCGGCACCAAGAAAACTCAGTTTCAGGACCTCCAGGTATTGTTGACACCAACTGTAGATAAATTTGGAAACTATTCCTAAATTTAGTGAGAAAAATTCCTCTAACATTTGTCTTGTCGCTCAGTCTTCTCAGGAATGGTTATCAACACGTTTTCAGCCGAGGGTCTCCACCCCCTTTGTGGATCTTCATAACCCAGAATTCCAACCGCTTTGTGGAGAAGTGGATCTGACAGGATTACTCATCAGTGTCATCGATGGACAGGGTAGGTGACTTAACTGTCTGAACTTATTCTATCACGAAATACACGCTCCCTAAATGATTGTGTTCGATCACACAGGTTCCTCTCCTGCCTTTTATTTGGCTGATGGGAAACTGAACTTTGTTAAAATTCGATGTTTCGGGAGCCTGGCTCAGTCAGGCTTGGAGGATTTGGTAAAACCACGTATCATGTTGGCTCTGAGTAACCTGCAGCTGAGAGGTCAGTCCACACATCCCACTCCTGTTGTGTATGCCGGAGAGCTGACCACATTCTCAACAAACCCCAAAGAGGTTCATCTACGGGAGTCCCTCAGCCAACTCAGAAACCTGATGCAGGTGAGGTGTTAAAATCCTGATCCACTTAATGAGACATAACAAGAGTGTTTATAACATTCTCCATCATTTTCATTGTGTGTTTTCAGAGCCAGGAGAACTTCTTTGTGAGTGCTGAGGAGAAGCTGAGACTTGTACTCAGATCTGATGGCCCTCACTTCATCTCCTCTCCAGCTCTGCAGACAGGAACCTCAGCTCCCTCAACAGAGAGAAGACAAAGCACAAAGATGAATGTAAGTTCACAGTTATATCTTGGATTGTTGGATAAATCACTGAAAAGTATTAACTAAAAGTTGACCTTTTTATGCAGTTGATATCACAGCACCAAGCCAGAAATCTTGGATCCTTCACGCCTGTCAGCAGAAACCCTCCCTCAGAAACAGAGAGTTCAACAGAGAAGAACCCGAGCACACTGAAGAGAAAGAGAGCCTTGGACTATCTCTCTCGTATCCCGTCTCCTCCTCCTCTCACCCTCTTGAACTCGGTGAATTCTCCATGTGTAAAAAAGACATTTAACCCTCCTCGAAGGTCTGGGACACCAAGCACTTTAAAACCTGTACAGACTCCAGCTCGCAAACCTGTAGACCAGCCTGTGGAGAGAGAGTGGGTTAATGACGAGGAGCTGGCTATGATTGATACTCAGGACTTGCTGTAGGTGCACATGACTGTATGATGACAAGCACAAAAAAATGATATAAATAACTGTACAGATGAGTTAATGTTCAGGCTGCTGTTGTTTGTCTTCTTAGTGGACTCATTAAAAAGGTTAAACAGTACAAACTTGTCATCAAAAAGTGGTATTTATGACTCAAATTTATACTTCATTTCCTGCTGTTTGCTTTTTGTAACTTCTGATTACTTCTCCATTGGTCAAAAATACATTTTTGAAAGGTAAAAAGCCAAAATGTCTAAAACAAGAGTTTTTAGGATGTCAACAACTAACTGATAGACTATCAAAATAATGTTTGCAGTCCTTGTAGAAAGAAATCACGACCTTGAAAAATTGCTCACTCACCTTGAAGTGTTCCAGGCGATATTCCAGCGTAAAATTAATTTAGGGTCAAACACTGCCTTAGCGTCTTGGTCTGATTGTATTTCCATGAAGAAATCATCATAAATGTTCTTCCTCAAGCTGCGTCACCCCACAGCAGTCCGTAATGGACTGGCCTGAGGTCTCGCTAAGTTGTGTTTAGTCTCTTTGCTAAAGAAATTAGGCAAAGTTAAAATGATGTTTGGTGGCTAGTGCTATGGCTGGGACCCTATATTTACATGAAGAAATCATAAATGTTCTTCCTTGAGCTGCGTCACCCCGCTGTAGTCCGGAATGGACTGGCCTGATCTGCAGTCATTACTAAAGTTGGTAAAACTAGGGAAGCAAGCAGTCGGCAACATTCATCTCTCCAGGGGGTGTCTAACCCGGTGTTACAGTGTGTTTGACCCTAAATTAGTTTTACACCGGAATATCCCTTTAAATAATGTGAAAGGAGAATATAGAACAAGAAAATATTGGATATAGCAGCAGCTCTAAACAATATATATATATATCTCATTATTATTAACAAAGATTTTTCATAAATATATTTTTTGAGTTAAAGGAAAAAGAGTTAAAGTAGTTTGTTGTATCGGGTTGTCTTCGCTGTTCTCGTCTACTCTATCACAGTCCTGTCCAGTTGGTGGCGCTGTAGCTGCACGACCGTAAATGAAAAGAAGAAGAAGAATGGACAACGTCACTTCCGTAAACACAAGGCGCTTGCAATGTGTGAATTTGGTGCCGGGATTATTTTGTCAATGAGTCCTTTATTTCTGTTTTTTAACTGCCTGCGGTAAGTATTTATGGATAAACACTTTTAATATTTAATGTAATATTAAAGTAGACGGTTATTTGTTTCGATACTTTATTTGTAACTCAATATAACAGCTGTAGCATAAATGTGACTTTTACGGATCTTTTTCGTGTTCTATGCCCTCAGGTTACATTATACACAACCATACAGCTTTATTGTTTCTGTATTAAATATTTTATGGTTGTCAGCTCTTATTAATTATGTTTTAATGTGATTTTCCGCAGATGTCTCATATTGAATCCTCCAGTGTCACGGATAACTCTGTTCCTGGTGAAAGTAGAGACACCTCTGCTGAGAAAGACTCTGTATCTGTGAAAAATGGCTCCAGCAGTCCAGACAGAAGTGTGAGAGAACGAGTCCTAAAGGAGGTCGGACTCACCAGCTCCACCTTCATTGGTCCAGCATTCCCCCCTGAGAAAAACACAGTCAAACCTGACATTGAAGACACTCTGAGTGAGTTTTACAAAGAGCTAGAGCAGATCGATACCCCAGATGGTCCCACAGATACTCCAGAGAAACAAGAAAAAGGCTATACGCAACCCACTATACCTCTCAAGACATCCCACATTGAAGAAACATTCGACAAATCTGCAGAAACAGATGGATACCAGAGAAGCAGTGGGCAGAAACAGCCGTCCTGGCCCCACTGGTATCAGAATGAGCCGTACCTCCCCAGAAGACCAAGACCCGGACTAGACCAGAGCCCTGGTAGGAGTTCCTCCCCTCTGAATCAAAGGCATTATCCTCAAATGATGAGACCTCCACCACCAAGATTTCACAGACCACCATTTCCTCCACCGCTGCCCCGACCTGCATTTGAAAACCCACAAAGTTCCTTGTCACATGGGAACCAAAACTGGACTGGTTCAGGCTTCACCCCCCAGCATCATGAAGGCTCTCATTTCCCACCATTTCCTACATTTCCACCTCCAAATGTATGCAATCAACCATTTCAGGGCTTTTATACAGACCCTCCACACCACTTAGACAGGGATGACCGGGTCCCTAACTACGATGTTCACACCAAAAACCTGGACTTTGGATGGTCCACTGATAAAACAGAACAGTGGTGTCAGTTTGATGAAGATTATGACTGGCGCCACAGAAACAAACCTGAAAACGAACAGTGGGACCATCACAACCAGCACCCTGACAACAACAATACACCCTCCTCCTCTTTGGTGCTGATCTTGATGAGGGGACTCCCAGGATCAGGAAAATCAACTCTAGCCAGGTACGTTTATTATCACCTTAAAGGTGTCCAAACCTTGCTTTGTAACCTAAATCCATGATATCATGTTCTTTGTCCCATATTTGTGTCCTATTCTCCTCACAGGGAGCTGCTCTCCACTGGTCCCAGCGGGCTGATACTGAGCACAGACGACTACTTTGCTCATAGAGATGGATACCGCTATGAAGCAGGTCTCCTCGGAGCAGCACATGAATGGAACCAAAGAAGAGGTACTCACATGGTTGTAAATGCTAGTTAATTAATGGATAATTTAATCAAAAGAGAAGAAATCGCAGATTATAATGACAATTGATTAGTTATTTCAAAAATGAATGCTGAATGCACCCTCTCTAAAGAATTTAATATATTTTTTTACATCTCTTTGTCAAAGAAGCACTTGGAAGAGATTTGCTCTGATTGCAGAAACTCTAAAACATTATTTTTTTTTTTTTTAATTTCCCTTTGTGAAATAATTCACTAAATATATAATCATAAAATACCCCTGCACTGATATTGTGTTCCTAAGATCAAAATACTTTCAGTAATTGACTATTTTAACTGGAAAAATTGTTATTCCCTTTTCTCCTGCTATCAGGAAATTGAATTTCACACCTTGACAAAAACGGCTCTTTTTGCTCGATAAGCAGAACATCAAGTACCCTGAAGTTGCTCACAGGAAATATTAATGACATTCTTTGACTAGATTTCATTCCCTCGTCAGTGCCTGTCAGATTTTCTTTATCATTTGTGTTTTTCCTCTTAAAGCTCAAGACGCTATGCGTGATGGCCGGTCACCCATAGTCATTGATAACACGAATATCCAAGCGTGGGAAATGAAGCCTTATGTTAAAATGGTAGGTACAGGAATTTACATATAAGTGTGAAGTGATGCAAACTCCCTCACTGATTCTCATGAGAATCTCTTTTTTTAACAGGCCATAGAGAGGGGATACAGAGTGGAATTTTGGGAGCCTGACACCAGCTGGAAGTTTGATCCTTCTGAGCTGGAGAAGTATGACATTTTTTAATTTATCATATTAAAAATATTTTGTTAAAAAAAAACCATACAGAGTTAAAATAATGTCCATCATCTGACTGAACTGCTCTGTCCTCATTCCAGGAGAAACAAACACGGAGTTCCTCAGGAGAAAATCGCTCAGATGATGGATCGGTTTTCATTTCCTATATCGGTGGACATTGTGATGAGTTCACAGGAGCCGCATCATGTGAGCCAGAGACGTCAGCCAGAGCAGAGGAGAAACCGAGATTTCAATTCGTAGTTAGATACTAAACCAGCAAAATATTTGCCTGAAGAAGAACAGCACTTTTGTAAGGATGTAAATTTTGTTTGATTCTGTGATAAATTTCCTAAATTATGTTTCCGGATGTAAAGAAAGAAGTTTATTTTTTCTAAGAGAGTTTTGATAATTGTTATATTTAACACCTTTGATAGGAAAAGTAATTCCAGGTTTTTGAATCTTGTATTAAACGATTTTTGCAGACTTGTTATTTCACGGTTTATTTGTTCAATACAAAACACAACAACATAAAAAAATCCCAGGGCTGTCCTTGTTTGCCTTTAACAGTTTTCTGTCAAAATCGATTTTTAGTGGGTTGTTAAAATTGTTGAGATCTTCTGATACCCTGAAGTCAGCAGAGCAGATCCTACAGTCGTTATCTCTGGTAAGCCATAAGTTTTATAACCACATAAATCTCTTGGGTTATGTCAACACTTTTCCTCCTTTTTCTCTTTGAAGGACAGAGTTGTTCATCTGAGCTTTACTTGAGGCAGACGATTCAAGTATCTGTCCTCTTAAGGTAAAACACGTCCTCTTTGTGTTTACTTTGGCACTCTTGGTTTGGCTGCGGTGAATGAAAGCAACAAAAAAATGTATTTTTTTTGCTGAAATTACTGAATTTTGGGGATAACTTATTATACATTCATTTTAAACTTTTTAGGGGAGACTCTTTAAAATGAAATCCTCTTAGTGTTCACGGGGCTTATATTTTTTTACTGGCAAGGTGTTAGGACGTTAGAATGATGATCAAGACATAATTTGATGTTTTGCAAATCATTTCACCTTTTTATTTAAATGAAAATATTGCAAAGGTAGACCACTTTCTGCAGTCCCATTCTTATTGGATACAGAATTTGAGCTGTTCAGCAATTCGGGGTCATTTTTTGGTCATGATGTCCTGATATTTTCAAAGTGGACAAGTTGTGACTGCTTTCAGACCAGTTTAGCACCAGGACTCTTCTATTACAGAGCCATGCAGCTGTTTGGCACTTGCTGTGTTATGTAAGGTCCTCCCTGAAAAAAATATCACCTGGAAGGCAGCATATGTTTCTCCAGAACCTGTGCATGGTGTCAAAATGGTGCCCTCCCAGAAATGTAGCTACCCATAACACCATGGATGCTGGCTTCTCATCCATGCACTGACTACCAGATAAAGCCAGTCAAGTCATGTCTGTTGTCGGCCATCCAATATCAGTGATCAGTTCAGAGATTCCTTCAGATTCAAATAGTAAGACTGCACCTGGACTGAATGACTGTAGTGTGGGGAAACGATGTAAAGAGAGCTTATCAGGGGTAGAAGCTCCAGTGGTTTTTAGCTTTAGTCACTGAGGGGAGGACTGTGTTTGAATTCATTTATTACTGTGCTATTGTGTCTCACAGGAAATTACATTCTGCCTCTGTATTCCCTTTGGTGTTCATTAAAGCCGCACACAGAGGGGCCTTTTTGTTGACTTTTCCAATCAGTGAGGCCCTTTGGAGAGCAGAGAATTATTCATCTCTGGACCTCAGATTGTTTTCATCACTGGAGCATAAAAATTTGATCTAGTTTTTTAATAATAGAATAAATGCAGTCAGTTTAATTTCTCTTAGAGGAAACACAACTCCAGATACTGATGTTTTAGTCTCCCCTGTGGAAAGAGAACATCTTCTGCAGAGCTTTACCTGACAGATTCAGGTTACCTCCTTTTTCGCTGCCTCACATTATGCAGACTCCACAATTTCAGGTTCAAGAATAGAAAATAAGAGGGAAAGGAGAATTGAGTGCATGTATTGTCTGATCAGTAATATGTGTCAGACATCATGAGGTTTAATTTTCATGAGAGTGTCAGACTGTGTGGAGCTGGCTAGGAGTGTTTCAATAACTCATCAGCTTTTCTTTGTTGAGGAGCATCATGATCCTGCCACCAGCGATGGGTTTCCATTATGATAACAATGAACGAGTGTTATAATTTCCTCAGTGGTGAACCTTTTATCTCAGTAAAAGGTTAACATGAATAAAGATGGGGAATAATTTGCTGTCTTTTGGTGCTCTCTGATACTCTGATGACTCAGACTGCAGTCAGTGTGTGTGTGTGTGTGTGTGTGTGTGTGTGTGTGTTTCTGCGGTTTAAGCTTCTTTTCTCTGGAGGTTTTTATTAACACGATGTTGACCTTCATCTACAGAATCCAGGCCTGATGTGCGCGCCAACAGTAAACTTTAAAGAGAAATATGAAGCACAGTGTCCTTCAGTATGTGTGAGAGGTAAGCTCAAATGTGAGTGAGTGGATAGGGCTTATACGGTGGCCCTGAGGTGCAAAACACAACTGCAAATCAGAAAACACAACTCAAAAAGAGAAAACACAATGGAAATCAGAAAGCACAACACAAAAAGAGAAAAGACAACATAAAAAACACGAAACAAAAAGAGAAAACGCAACACAAAAAGAGAAAACACAACACAGAAAAACACAACACAAAAAGAGAAAACACAAAAAGAGAACATGCAGAAAACCAAACACAAAGAGAGAAAACACTACAACACAAAGAGAGAAAACACTACACAAAAAAAGAAAATGCAACGCAAAAAGAAAACACAACACAAAAAGAGAAAAAATTGCAAATCAGAAAACCAAACACAAAAAGAGAAACCCCACAATGGTTAATGTTGTGTTTTGTCTTCAGGTTGTGTTTTTTCTTTTTCCGTTGTGTTTTCTGATTTACTGTTTTGTTTTGCACCTCAGGGCCACCGTACATTTAGGATGTTATCTATCTATATACTGTATATAAATACTTTATATATGCACTTCTTAACCATATGAGTGTAGCACTCTGCAGCATTTAACAAGTTACAATGGAGAGGAAAAACTTCCTTTAACAGGCAGAAACCTTGAGCAGAACCAGACTCATGTTAGACAGTCACCTGCTGAGACTGAGCTGGGTTTAGAGAGGGGAGAGCAGGAGATACGGCAGCTGGAGAGCAGGCATTGATCAAGAAATCTACAGGATGATGAAGCTCAGGGACTCCCAGAAAAGACTGTGTACTAGTGACTCAAATGGAACATAATGATTCAGTGACACAGGCAGAAAGAGAGAGGATGGAGAAGGAGAGAAAGGTGCTCAGTGCGCCAGTACCTCCAACAGTCTGAACCTACAGCAGCAAAACTAAGAGCTGCAGCAAAGCGAATGAGAAAAGAACGATTACTACAAACGACACATGAAGTCAACAGGTCTATAACGGGAGGAGTGATTATATTAATGTTAGCAGTTAGAGTCAAGCAGCTCTTAGATTCAGATTGACGACTATAATGACGGCAATTTAAGAAAGCTCCCTGTGAATACTTGTGGCTGTTTGAATCAGGCAGGTCCACAGCAGCAGGCGGCCCGAGGCATCGATCTGCAGCAGGGTGCTTGATAACTCCTGGGCAGATAAATACAGCGGTTAATGATAATTGCCACCACTTACCTTCAGCTTTTAAGTGAATTTAAAAGCAAGACAAAAAACATGTTGCTGTTTTTTGTTTCGGGTGGCACTGGCTCACTCTGTTGGGACTTGTCTTAGGAGCTTGAGCATCACCAGGTTGTCGAAATCAGGTCTAAGGTCACTTATTGGACTCTGCTGGGGTGTCCTTGAGCTGACATCTCCCTATTAGTACACACTCATTAGATCTTGATTGTGCATGTGTGTGTATTTCGAGCTTATGTTCAATAATTGAGTGAAAACACTGAATTTCTCCTCATGGATCGATGAAGTACGACTCTGCCTTTTTGTCTCCTCTGTATTCTGGGACCACAGTCCTGAGTGCATTTTGTGTGATGGATTAGCATCAGTCAAAATGGGTATTAGTGTGATGGATTCGTGCTTGCAAATAGTTTTGGTGCAGCTAATTGCAAACTGGTGCCAACAGTAAATTCAAGAGAGAGATTGGAGAACAAGGAGGCAGACCCACAAAGAAGAGAAATCCCTTCAGGGAGATTTCCAAATTCAATGTCCAAATCAAATCCCTGATATTTAGAAGACAAAAGACAGAAATTTAGATTGCGAATATTAATGCAAAGTCATTTAAAAATTGAGCTTTTTCTATCATGCTGAAAAGAACAAGCTTATACTCCCAGCAAGGAGCAGAACATTAGCTGTCCTCTGTATAGTGAACGTAAAATCTCTGACCTTTTGAATCCTGCAGCTGTTCAACATCCCAGACCTCGATATAACAAAGATCTGAACACGTGCAGAACAGTCTGACAGGTGTGATACTAACCTCTCAGGAAACACGAGTCTAAATAGAACCTGCGAAAACGAGCTGGTAACTCCTCAGCAGTTTGACCTAAAACACACAAGCTTGTTTAATTATAACACACATCCATCTGTTTCTTTCATAGGTACGATGCGTGTGGGTATGTTACAGCTAATTACAGAGAAACTAATGCAGAGGCTGTCTTGCACTTTGCAGGTGTTCAGTCTCCACTGACTGTAAAGCTCCTCTGGAATGATTATTATTCTGCATCATCAGTGTCAATCAGGCAGCAAATCTCTTGACACCTGATCTGATCTGAGATGTAACTTCTAGGAAACCTCAGGGCTTCACTTGTGATTTCATTTTGGTAGTTTTTCATCCTCGCTTTCTTGAAGCACACGCTCAGCCAGTGACCTTCTTCTGCACTCTTAGAAATTACGTTTCTATTATTAGAAAGGAGGAGATGTTTTCGCTGTCGTTACAACGTACAATCACAGATCCTTCAAATCTTTCCTGGTGAGACTTTTTTATGTGCTCTTAAACTAAGAAAAACCATCTGTTACATCATTAGTATTTATTTTTATTTATCTGCAAACTTTTCACACAAATTTGAAATGATGTCGTCAGCGTGTAACAGCATGTGCCCACCTTCTATAGTACGACGGTTACACAATGTACTGCTGTTCCCAACAACAGGATGTCAGACACAGGAAAAGTCATAAATCTGAGACGCTGGAGGAGGTTCATGCTTCCTGCATCAACAACAACATAAATCGATTCCTGTGTTCTCTCTAAACTCTATAGAGAGCATTACACACACACACTAAAAAAAACTGCATCCAGGTATATCAACATTCATATGCCGAAAATCTCAGTAACATCAGGACTAAATCCACAGAATCATGATAAACCAATCTTTCTCAGTTTTGTGTTCCCGCAGTTTAGGAATATTGCCTCCCTTGTGGATTATTTGCAGCTGTTTAATGACACCATCATCAGGCACAAACATTAGATTCATTTATAGCTTTACATAAATGAGACTCCTCC